AGTTTCCTTCTCAGTCATATTTTTTTACCAATCTGTTATCTGTCGTTTACTTTACTTTACCTTTGCTACCATCTCCTTAATGAACCGCTTTATCCAGTTTTCCTATTTTGGTATATTGATAAAAATGCATTGATATGGTTGGTGATCACGTGTTACTGCCACCTGAATTATTTTGCTTCTAAATACGAAGTTAAAGTCACAAAAATACAAGTAGTAATAAGAATGTTTTTTTTTAACTATCTCGTATGATCAACTTCTGTTAATTATCTTCAGTATAAATATAAATTGCTGCGAGTCATCAGACAAGTGTTTGAATATTCACTGAGGCGTCACCCTGACAACGACTGAATATATATATGAAGCCAGATGATTTGAATTGATTGAGGTTATATGTATAGATGATATCGGAAAATACTTTTTGGCAAGAAGTCCGCAGTGTGTTCGTCCTGGGAAAAATGAGTTATATAGAATTATATTTAAACAGAAAAATCATGGACCTTCCTCGTTGAACGGTGTTTGTTGACGGAACTATTTAGTGTAGCTCATTGGAACACTGACTGTGGAAGTATGTATAGAATTAAGAATTATTGTTCACAAATTACTATTGATATCATACCCCAATATATTTTTTAGAAAGTTGAGAGCTGCCTCATTACAACATTAGATTCAGACTTGGTTAGACGAAATTTTCCTTTAAGAATGTTGTGACAGTACAAAGTGTAAGCTCCTGTAGATGTTTGACAGCCACTGGAACATATTTAGCTGAACTCAGGAGTCCGTGCATGCTTGTTCTTGCCAACAGTACTTAAAAAAGAACTGGCCGACCGCCCCACCGGTTAGTAAACTAACAAGAAAAGTTATCCCTATCAATCAGATTCGTTTTCTTCTAAATAAGTTTTAGTTCAATTTTCTTTAATGGTTTGTAGCGGAGCTATGACTTTAGTGTTCACATTATACAGTATTTTGGTGATATTTATATTCTTGTCATGTCCTACTGAAGGTATAACTCTTGCATTAAAAAACAAAACAAACGTTTGAGTCTTCACTGTAGTTATTTTTGGAAACTAGTAAAATTTTAATTAATGACGAGGCAATTCTTGTTAATAAAGTTTAAATAATTTAATACTTTAGATACACAATAACTGTTGACATACAGAAAATATAAAGTATATATCTGTCCAGCTATGGATCCTAACTTACTTCCGATGTTGTGCTGTATATGGCCTATTTGAGTTGCAGAACGGCCTTTCAGCAGAAAATATCATACCAAAGTTTAAGAGAGAGGAGTTTGAAACACTACTGAAGGTACACCAACCCGATATAGTAGGAGTTGAAGAACTGTTGTACAAGAACAGGAGAATCAACCCAGAGGAATGCAAGTTTAATATTGACGGATATGACTCGTTTACGAACCTTTCTCAAGAAACTTGCAAGAGGGGTGTGGTTATCTATGCTAGGCAAGACCTTAGAGCCAGCTAGGCGAGGGTACAGGGAGAGGATGTTTTTGAAGAATCCAAGTGGTATAAAATTAAATTAAAGGGAAGAGACTTACTTATTGTCGGGTGTATCTACAGATCTCCAAACTGTGGCTTCCCAAACCAAAGGAACTTAAAAGCCTTAATAGACAACGCAGCGATGCTCAACCCTAGTCACCTCCTTATCATGGAGGACTTTAACTATGGCTACATCGACTGGAGAAACGAGTTCACGCCAAAAGATTTAAATAACCCAAGCCACTGGACCTCATCAAAACAAATCAGGAGGGTACCAGCCACCATGTAATGCTGTCTTTCGGGATCAATTGTTACTCGGTGCACGACAAAACCAGGCCAAGGTGCAAATATTACAAGGAAAATTACGACGGGATGGGGGAGGAGATGAGGGGTATCCAATGTCCTGACTCACTAAGGCATAAGAACGCAGACACCACGCTGAATATCACAGCTAGTAAAGTGAACTATTTGATCGAGAAATATATATCCAAGACTAAACCTAGTGCCTCTAAGAATACTGTTCAAGGGGATCCCTACACACGAACCATGCGGCGGTCGACAAAGTTAAGAAGAAAACCCAGAAATTCAAGACGTGGGTTGGGTCAAACGATGAGCAGGACAGGAGGATGTATGCAAGAGCCAGGAACCAAGCAAAGGCAGAGTGTAGAAGGGCTGAAAAAGAGTTCCAGAGGCTGGTTACAAGCGAGATCAACTCAAACCCATAGGCGTTTTACCGCTATGCAAAGTCGAAATTAAAAACGCGAGTAGTAGTATCACACCTGAGGCTTGAAGATGGTAGTTACGCAGATTATGGCCAGGAAAAAGCAGAGACATTGAACAGTTTCTTTTCCTCTGTGTTCACAAGAGAGGATGCGGTTAATCTTCCTGCGTTTGAGGACAGACGGTTCGACACAGCACTGACCCACATTGTGTTCACAGAAGAGGTTATTAGAAATTAAGAACCAAGCAAACTGTGAAGAGCTGCAGAAGGATCTCTGTGAGCTTCAAGAATGGTCGAAGAAATGGCTGGTGAGATTCAATATCGCGAAGTGTAAGTGGCTGCACCTGGGACGTACCAACGGTAAGGAGGTGTATCATATGTCCCAACGGGACGAAGAAACTGCATTAATTGAGACTGAATGTGAGAAGAACCTAGGTGTGTATGTTGACAATGAGCTGAAGTTCTCGGGCCATTGCGAGAGGAAGGTAAATCAGGCAACTAAATTATTAGGTCTTATAAGAAGGCTGTTCAGATATCTAGACGGTTTGTCCCTCGTAACGATTTTCAAGAGTGAAGTGCTTCCCCGTCTGGAGTACTGTCACCTTGTTTGGTCCCCGAGATATGCTAGGGACTGTCAGTTGGTTGAAAATGTCCAAAGGAGGGCCACCAGACTGGTGCCTGCACTACTTCACCTCAGCTACCCTGAGAGATTAGAGTGCCTGAAATTGCCTAGCTTATACTAAAGACGGGCAAGGGGCGACTGAATTGAGGTGTATAAACATCTCAAAGGGCACTACTCAGTCTTGTGCCCTTACCTGGAGCTGGCGGACGCTCGCCCCACAAGGGGTCACAGCTCAAGATTGAAGAAGCCGCAAGCCCAGAAAACTGTGAGGGGTAACTTTTTCGGAATGAAAGTTGTGAACTCTTGGAACAATCTGCCAGAGAGTGTTGTGACGGCACCGAGTGTGAGCTCTTTCAAGACCAGACTTGACCAACACTGGAGCAGGTTCAGATACATTCAGGAGCCGGTGCATGCCCAGTACTTGCCAACAGTGCATAACAGAGACGCGACCGGTCGCCTAAGCGGCGAATGAGCAGATTAGTGGTGAAGAAGATAAAAGTATAAAAAGTTAAGAAACAAACCCATAAACTAATGTCTTGAGCTGTGTGTGTGTGTGTGTGTGTGTGTGTGTGTGTGTGTGTGTGTGTGTGTGTGTGTGTGTTCTGATATGAGTGGTGTGTATTGTGCTCTCTCTCTGTCTGTCTGTCTGTCTGGTTGTTATATAAAATACTCACTGTAAATGTGTGGGAAATATTGTAACATACACCACACGGTAACCATAATATTTTTCTTTGTATTTCATATCATTAAGTACTGTAATCGTGGTAATTAATTTTGGTTTAAATAATTATCCAAATGGATCTTTAACTTTATTTTCTTCACAACTGTTAACATAAAAATAAGACCATAATAGATTTTTTTTAATGGAATTATGTAATAACTATCATGCACATTTGCATTTAGTTTGACATGTATGAAGACAATGCAGGTATATGATGTACCTAGACAATGCAGGTATATGATGTACCTAGACAATGCAGGTATATGATGTACCTAGACAATGCAGGTATATGATGTACCTAGATAATGCAGGTATACAACAACAGGAAGACAGTTTGACCACAGATAATCGTCAAAACCATCAGATGTTTACGTCTAGTGGGTCCTGACATAGGTAAATATTTAAGTTATTTAAAAATCGTCATATAAATTTGCAATTGGTTTAGCATGTGTATAAACAATGTAGGTATACAAATATTGGTAGCCAGTTAACCAGTATGGCAATGCGACCAAGAGCAGCCAACACAGCCATCAGGTGCACAAATATATAGAGGAAGACATGCGAGATGCTTATACGGACGCAGAAGATTTTTCTTATCTTTGTATATGAAGGAACAAATTATAATTTCTAGATCTCGTTTGGTTTTATACAGGAGTCAAGGTGCGTCAAGGTTGCTTTTGATGAGTTCATTGAGGTCATTGTGTCTCAAATGTCCCCGGCCTGACCTACAACTACTACTTTGTTGTCACTCGGAGTCAAGTATGACGATCATCCAACTATGATACAATGATATGAGTTATTAAGGATGTCACCTTCATTGGTGAGCTCTGAGGTGACTAGAGAGGCCGATACGGGACCGGCAGAGCCGTCCACAGGCATTGCATGTATGGAGGCCTACATCTAGTGCGGGAGGGGCGGCGGCAGCGTCTTTCCGGCGCTGGCACTTGTCTGCCTCAGTATGCAGTCGGGCTAACTCGAAAGTATTGACATCTTCTCGTGTGGTGCTCCTCCAAGCGTTACGGTATAGAGTGATCTTCCAGGTGAGGGGGTCGATTTGGCACTTCTTCTTACTTATACACTTTCCATTTGCCCACCAGCGTTATGTTTACTATTCATTAGGCGACTGTAAAGTAGCTGCTTAGGCAGTCTACTGTCGTCCAGGCGTGTAACATGGTCAGTCCAACGGTAGCGCCGATGCTCCTACAGTTGGTGTCAGCAAGAATACTGGCATTTGTTCTCTTGTCTTCCCAGCGAACTCGGAGGATGGAACGTAGACTACGTTGGTGAAAGTTTTCAAGTGCCTTGAGGTGCCTCCTGTATGCGATCCATGTCTCACTGCCATATAGCAGGGTGGGGAGGACCACTGCTCGATATACGTGCAATTTTGTAGATAGTTTCAGATCCCTACACCTGAAGACACGGTTTCGGAGTCTGCCAAAGGCTTGAGACACACATCTGATCCGATATTGAATCTCTTCATCGATGTCCGCGATGGTGGACATGTGGGAACTGAGATACTGAAAGTGGATAACATTAGTGAGAGTAGCACCCTTAACCTGGGTGGATGGTGGAGGTGTCGTAGACCTACACTACCACTGCCATGGCCATGGGGACTGGTATGATCCTCCTACACACTGCCAAAGATACTCTCAAGTGTATTCGTGAGAATTTCGGCACTCAAGTTGAGTTTTATGATGAGCTTAAGAATGACAGCCTTCTTAAGTTTAGACCACAGAGTACACATGATGATTGTATCACTAGATGGTTGGAGCTACTGGTAGGAAACCTTTTGACCCAATAACCGGCAGGTCAAAGTCAGGTATATTTGGCATCCCTGGACGAGCCGTCACTGTTCCATCTTGAGAGATATCCAGTGGATACCTGTGGGAGTAAATATCCTAATATTAGAGACGACATCACCAGTGAGAGAGAGAATGAGAAGAGGTCGAACCGTTAATATTATGTAAAGAGAGAGGTGCTTGAAGCCCACCACAGGTTCATCATACTAAATAAAATCTCATTACCTGAGGAAGCGGTTCCTGGATTCATTTTCAGAAGAGTCGCTCGCGAAGGAGTCAAGTGAGTCATCAGCCAGCTGCCTGAGCTTTCTGATGGCACCCAGTGAGGAGGGGTTGGCCAACTCGGGCTCCTCCTCTGACAGACCAGATGTGTGTTCAGCCCAAAGCGACTTGCGGAAGTCCCTTACCGCACCGTCCTTCACAACCTCACCCACCGCCGTGTTGTTCTCCCGTACCTGGTGGGGGGTAGGGGGGGGTATGAGGTAGTAGTATATACATGGGTTATACCTGAGTGTTTATGAGGCGAGTGTGAGTCTCGGGGAGGACTTAGACCTTAATAGTAGTGAGTGAGGTGCACATGCTGCTGTGTCCCCTGAGGAACACTACCATTGATAAGTGACCTATATTTAATCCAGATTTGCCAAGTACTTCATGGACAAGAGACATGGATATTTATTATCATATTCTAAGAAAAATATTGGTGAATGTCTCACATTTTAGAAGCTGTAAACTGTAGACGAATGGAAAGACGTAAGAGGAAACAGACGCTCGTAAAATAGAAGCGCAAGGAATGAAACAGGTAAAGGGATGATAAATTTGGATAAGTCGGGGTGGTGTGAGGGAAAACTATCTGTAGGGACTGAAATCAAAAGAAAGAAGGATGATGTTCTGTTTTTGTTGACATACTGAGCCAGGACATAATGACAGAAAAGAGAAGTAAAGTGATATTGACTGTCTGACGTGAAGAGGGGGTACGGAGGAAGTGAGATGTTTGTTGATGACATAAATTAACTTATTTATCCTCCACTGAGTCTGTGTTGGATGTGAGATAAGCTGTTGTGCAGGTTAGTACCATCAATAAAGAGGTTGGTGACATCTTGATAGAGGGGAGGAGTTTATTAATAAGGAAGAATAAGATAAGTAACTTTCAAACAACTCCGCTCTGATGGGAAGGTATTTCGAATGTGAGAGAGAAGTGGTCAAGAAAAATATCCATCACTAACACGTCTAGACTGATCTTATACCCCACCACTCACCTGACATGCCGCCACAGCCACCTCAGTGTCACGGGTGCCATCGAGTGACCTCTGGTTAAGGTTGGCAGAGCCTATCACTATGTGGGCGTCGTCAGCGAGAATCGTCTTCGAGTGAACGTAGATGAGGAAGCGAGATTTTTGGCGCCACTTCCACTCGTCACTTCCGGAAGTCGGGTTCTCTACACCAACTGATCTCGCCACCCTTGCCTGGGATTCTTTCTGTAGACAAACAAGGAGAGATGAGAGACTGTGAGATGTAGAGGCCAGTGACGTAGGGAGGTATCATGGTATGTGAGGTCAGGTATATAATGTGGTGTTTAAGACGATATAGACCATACAACTGCCGTCCTATTTAACTAAAGTTGATTTTAATCTACTTTTTCATATTTCTGAATGGGTAAATGTTTAATAGGTTGTCTCTAAGCTAACCTAACCTAACTTACAAATTACGTCAATAAATTACATCACTAATAAAAATTTAAAGACGTCACATGAATTCATCCTGTTATGTTTTCTTCTCAAGTTGGTAACATATATATATATATATATATATATATATATATATATATATATATATATATATATATATATATATATATATATATATATATATATATATATATATATATATATATATATATATATATATGTGTGTGTGTGTGTGTGTGTGTGTGTATTTTAAAGGTGTACAAGGTTAATGAGCATCATCTTATACCTGGGTACAAGTAATCAAGAGTTGTGTTATGGTTCTCACCTGTTTTATGACACTGTAGACACCTTTACCTGGTCCCTATATCCGCCTCACTCACCATAAACAACATTTAATTTCATTTTATACCAGTTAAGACTTCCACTATAACTTTGGTATCCTGATGAGTATAAAGTGTCATCCCTTATACTATACAGACACGGAGGCAGTGTTTGTTTACCTTGCCGAGGCAGAGGAACAGCAAGTAGTCGGTGGGGTGACGTTTGGATCCAACCTCCTTCAACACTGCCGCTATCCTTCCATACATCATCTGTCACCACACACACATAGGAGAGACAAGAACACAGATGAGAAACATATTTTAATACACTGTGACATAGGGTTAATCTTTTATCTCGTTATCTCAAATTAGCTTAATAACGGGGTAATTAATATGAAGACTAGCTGGGAGGTGGTAATTGTTTAACTCTCGTTGTGTAAAGGATAGGTGAACTTTTATTGATGTTTTACTGTTGAAGAAAAGGTTCAGTTATCAAAAGTTATCAAGACATTTGGTTACATTATGGAATTTAGACTTGAATATGGGACAAATATATGTGTACCTGTGTTGGAGTGTACCTGTAATTGTGTTGATATGTACCTGTAATTGTGTTGCTTTGTACCTGTAATTCTGATGGAGTGTACCTGTAACTCTGATGGAGTGTACCTGTAATTGTGTTGGTGTGTGCCTGTAACTAGGATAGCATGTACTTGTCACCAGGTTCACATGTACCACCAACTAGATTGTGTGTACCTGTGTTTACCTGTGATATGTCTTACCTGCATGGTGAGGTACTGGTAGTGGAGGATGGCCTTCATACTGCTCTTGACCACGAGACTATCAGGGTTGCCTTCAGGTATCATAGGAACCACAATGTACACTCGAAACTCCTCACCTGCGCGGATCTTACCCACCTGAGGAAGATAAATAAGTACAAACTCAACACTGATACTTCCCAATAACAAATCGGTAATTAGCGTATTGGAGAACCACGACTATAAACTACTCAGTGATTACCAAAACATTAACCCCAGTCTTGTTTGCCTACCTCTAATTCTCTCCTGGAACGTCGTGATATAATCTTTTAAAAAAAATCTAAAGATACTATTAAGAATATTCAGCAATAGAGCTTTTATCAGGATATAGTTTGGTCAATAAACATATCTGGCGTGAGAAACAACACATAAACATTATTTAGAACTTGGGGAAACATTAAAGAGGAAAAAATTAAAATGTCTAAACTATATTAGGTGCTTATCCCCCTTGACCAAACCTAATCTCCACCTAATACCTTATCCTTTTATCCTTCACCCATTTCCTTTAGCATCCGTCCCTTCCTTTCTCCTAACATCTACCCATCCCCTGCCCTTCAGCTCCTACTTACCACTCGCTGGACGATCTCAAGGGGGACGAGGTTACTGGCTCCCACCTGGTCGTCCTCCTCCCACGCCTGAGACGACCCGATGAAGTACTGTGGAGTAGAAGAGAAGCGTCGGTGACTTCTTTCTCATTGTCTCTTTCTTTCTCATTCTGTCTCTGTCTTTCTTATTTTCTTTCTTTCATTCTCTCACTGCCATTCCCTAACCATGGCATCATTGTGAAGGGACATAATTTAAAAGGCTACACTATATGAGTTTTCTAACGTTAACTAAATCCTACAGTTACAAGCAAATTCGTTTGTTATATCTTTCAATAATTTCTTTTTTATATGATTGATCTCTATTTTGTATCGTGAATAATGTTATTTTCTTTATCTTCTAATCTCCCATAGAGTTCGTGACCTTGTGTGTGTGTGTGTGTGTGTGTGTGTGTGTGTGTCATGAACATAAGAACATAAGAAAATAAGGAGTCTGCAATAGGCCGGTTGGCCTGTGCATGGCAGCTCCTGTCGAGAGTTACTACCACTCTCTATCATCCATGAATCTATCCAGCCTCCTTTTAAAACTTCCCAGCGTTCCAGCACTTACTACAAAGTTGCTAAGCTTGTTCCACTCGTCCACCACCCTATTTGTGACTTTCATTGTACACACACAGAATAATGGTACGAGTACGTAAACGTGTACACTCAAACGTATCTATATTGACACACACACACATACACACACACACACACACACACACACACATACACACACACACACACACACACACACACTCACCTGGCTCTCAATATAAATAAAGTCCTGGGCACGTCTGATGAGTCTAACCATAGCCTTATGTAAGCTATTATCTACTACACGCCCGCCCGCGTTATCCAGCACGCCCACACGCCCACTGCTGAACATCGCCGAGTCTCCATCTATCGATCGAACCACCTGAGGATAGAAATGAGACAATGAGATATTTTATGGGTTAGGTTAGGTTAGATTTTGTCTCGTGGGGGAAAGTCATAAGTCTAGGAGTATGGACTGGGAGGTGAGGTTAGCTGCACTTACCTGTCAACTTGGTCAATGTCACAGCTAAAGTTATTCGTAAATATAAACAACACACAAAAGCATTCACCAAGTTTGACCTGTTGTGAACTAAATCAGAGGTAATACGTGGTTTAATAAATCAGTTTACGTTTACCACTAATTAGCTTGAATCTTCACGTATTTCCTCATGACGTCACTTCTTGTTTGTATAGACGTATTTCCTCATGACGTCACTTCTTGCTTGTGAAGGTCATCCGGGTTTTGGGTTTTCCTAAGTAAGAATGAAGTCGCTAAGAAATCATTTCCTTCTAATCATTACTCAGTGAGCTTGTTTATGGGTGATATTACAAGCATACAAACACACCAAAAGGTTAATGAAAAGAATATGTACTTAATTATGATATAGAAGAGAAAAATATATCATTAACTGACACACACACACACACACACACACACACACACACACACACACACACTGTTTACCGTCTCTGTGGGGATTAATAAAATTGATATCTTGAGCCTGACGATGATAAATTTCGTACTATAATCAAAGTTATCGTTAAGTGTTTATATCAGACTAATAAGCCGCCTCTCCTGACCTCACTGGTGCATGTTTTCTTTCTGTACGTGAGGGAGGATTCTCGAGTTAACACAGTGCTTTGTTATCCTTCTCGATAGTCGTCTGGCAGGGGTGTTACTCTCCCTCAGACGCCAACAAAGTCAGGTGGCTGCGTTGATATCGTTTCCTGTCTAAGATTTAAAGGTTTGGGCCTTGGGTGACCATCGTCCTCCCTGACTCTAGAACGTGAAGTTGGTCTATAGAACTCCAAAATAGAGCCCATTAATTGATAAGTAAATATACAGAGCACCAAACTACAGAGATAGGAATCAGAACTTGTAGAACTTTGTAGAAGAGATAAGAGAGTTTATGAAGCCCACAGGGGGGTGAAGAGAGGGAGGTAGAAATGTTAGTTCGACAGGTGTGTGTGTATAAACAGGATATGTCTAGTGCCCTTGAATAACACTATCGTTTTATTCTAGGTCACAGGAAGCTGGTGAGGCCCCCCTTGTTAGTATCTCCCTAAGTGTGTGTGTATTACAGTACCTGTCTTATTCAGTACTACACTTAGGTTAGTCAGAATCTATATACGTTTCAACACTCTGTCTGTATTTTGTGTTTCAGATATTAACTTACTGTAATTTCCATAAACTACGATGGTTACAGCCGAAGGATATTGAGTGACTTGATGGAAACACTTGGTAGAGATGAACCCACTCGCAACACAATGAACCCACTCGCAACACAATGAACCCACTCGCAACACAATGAACCCACTCGCAACACAGTTAATGAACCCACTCGCAACACCCACTCGCATGAACCCACTCGCAACACAATGAACCCACTCGCAACACAATGAACCCACTCGCAACACAGTTAATGAACCCACTCGCAACACAGTTTAATGAACCCACTCGCAACACAGTTAATGAACCCACTCGCAACACAGTTAATGAACCCACTCACAACACAGTTAATGAACCCACTCACAACACAGTTAATGAACCCACTCACAACACAGTTAATGAACCCACTCGCAACACAGTTAATGAACCCACTCACAACACAGTTAATGAACCCACTCGCAACACAGTTAATGAACCCACTCACAACACAGTTAATGAACCCACTCACAACACAGTTAATGAACCCACTCACAACACAGTTAATGAACCCACTCACAACACAGTTAATGAATGGTAACCTTACATACAGAAAAATAACTCAGAGGCTGCAAGGTTTCCCCACGAAAAGTTGAACAAGAAGAACCAAGGAGGAATGTCTTACGTACTACCAGTTTGATTTGAGTCAAAGAAACAGTAAACATTAAAAACGTCTTAATTCTTCAGCACCCCTTTATCTAAGGTCAATAGTCTTTAGTGAGGAGATCATGGTGGACTGTCTGCAACAAAGTCACAATTGGCGTGAATAAGAGTCTCGCCATCAAAAAGTAATCCTATATGTAAACGCTGAAGGATTCGTGAGAGTAACATCAGCTATGGATTGATTGACTTCCCATATATTCATCAAAGCTTACCTGCATTTGCCACGTAACTTCATCCGCTGGGTTTGAGTTCGCTACTGTAGGGGTCAGGACCTCTTCATATGACTGCACAAGCAGGTGAGCCTTTTTTGGCACCTGTTGTCTCCAGCGCTCCTCAAAGTTCCTCAGGAGATCGACGGCAGCCCGACCTGTAAGGCGTGCGTGGACGTCGTGCCACGGTTCACGGGGCCCCTGATTCTCTTTCAGATTAACGAAGCCGTTGTGGAAGTCGCCGCGGTGTTCCCTGGCCAGTGTGGAAAAAAGTTGGTGGTCCGGCGTGTCCCATCGTCCTTTAGTCAAGTCTAGGCCACCAACGAAGGCGACAAGATCGTCTTTACCGTCGTCAGCCACGAGCATTTTCTGGTGATGGGACCAGACAGTTTCCACAAGCTTTGCTCTAATTAAAGATGTCGAATGTCGTTTTCTTCTCACGTTCGCTACGTGAACGCTTGTGTGTTCGAAGTATTTCTCTGTATCCTCGTCAAAGGTATTGAGCAGTCCAGCACAAAGAATAGCAGAAAATTTTTCATTCCAGATAAGGAGTATTACTCGCACTCCTTCGCCTGCTTTCTGTTTTAACAACTCCCCAAGGGTCTCTTTATCACGCTCAAGACGCGTGCCCGTCCACAGACTCCAGGCAGAGATGTAGACGAACTTCTTCGCTCCACGGATCGCATCTGCCATTGCCTCAAAGACGCCCTCACTGGTGCCAACTATCCCGGGCACGGTTGTGGCATGAGCATCCTGGTAAAGAGTTAGAGATCCTCCCTTGCGTAGAGGGAAGTAGGATCGGGGTACTTCCATGCTTTCCCCCATTGACTGTAGTGCAGGAGTGTACCGGATCTTCATATTCACTCTACCCTTCCCTCCTTCAAGATAAACAGGACCATCCCTACTCCAAGCTTTGTCACGGTCGCCAAGAACCACACGGCCGCTGCCCAGGAACTCAGAACGGAAGTCATCTTTGTCCCTCACAGAGATATCGAGGTACTTAGCATCCTCACAGACTGGACAGATGACATGTTCCCCCCAGACCGTGTTGATGGCGTCCTTACGAACTCCTGTTGTGAGAATATCAGTCGTTCCCAACGTCACAGTTACCCAGACGTCCGACCAATCCCCTCTTATGATGTTAAACAGAGCGTTATCTCGGTCGACAAAGTTCTCTCCACTAACAACTTCTACCTCCAGATCTCCGTGAAGAGACGACATCGTAGAAACACTGATGGCTTTAGCGGCAGCACTGAAGTATCAAATATTCAACTGAGACAGTTATGATGTCAAGTCAGATGATCAAGTGTGAGAAGCAGGGAGTCAACTACTCGCCTTGGTGCTCGTCAAATGCTCGACTGCATTTAACCTCCACCGCACCGTGATATTTGTAACCTCCGGAAATGCCGAGGTAGATACGTAGTGACCAGATGAAAAACAAGAATTCAGGGTTAGGACAAGCTAAACACCCCATTGACACTGTTACTCACTTGTTTCGAAATTCTCTACAACGATATGGTTTAATAAAGTTTTAAAATTGTCCTTATCAAGAATAAATAACACATAAAAAATAAAATTAAAATAAATAGATGGACATGTATAAAAAGGAAACGTTGTAAAGTGCTTAAACACCAGTTATTGACAGATGGTAAACACAGTGCTTTAAGTGCCGAGTCATTTTCCTAGTAATGTTCATAATCCCACAAACTCAAGGATAAAACACAAAGCCTGTACTGACGTCAAGTTCACCGCTCACACCCACTGCTCTTACAACAAACCGAGGAAATTTTAGCAATAGAGCAACGTTATGATGTTTACTGTTAGTTTTTATTTCGTAGGACACTTAATATACTCAATGTTGTATTTAATTTTATTTCTCATGATGAATTTTGTTATTGTTGTTACATGTTACTTCTCTCGTTTAAGGTTTGATGATATATTATTGAAACGTTAACAAATAATTTGGTTGTTGTTTGTCCATACGTTGGTGTTATTTTAGGTAGATAGATAGAGAGGTAGATAGATAGATAGATAGATAGATAGATACTGTTTATAAGTAAACTACTGCGTTATATTTAGGGGAATGCCCTACTTTACTTGCTTGAGCTAATAGGGATTCCCGCTTGCTGCTCTTCCTGTGCTTGGAGTTTCCAATCACTTCACTCTTACGACATCATCGGATTTTTAAGTAATAACATTTCGTAAACTACAAACTAAATTATAATTCTAACACCATTTACGTCATCTCTTAACTGTGCTTGATGAGATTGTTTTAAAAAATGAATATTATAAATCGTAGAACATGATACCGAGGTGAAGTTAGTTCGAAAGGGGTTTATATATTATTATAGTACAAACGATGTATATTGGATATTTTTTTAATAAACTGGTCTATACATATGTGAGTCTAGTCACGTGTCTGTGTTTGATTTCAATGATGTGTACTTATAAGAGAATACAGTCGGTCCTTCACATACGCTAGTTTAGCATTCACGGATTCGCAAATACGCGGATTGCCCCGCCAGAGGAATATTCTGTACATTGAAGTAATTGAAGTACATTCAAATCGCGCGCCATTCAACTCGCGCGCGGCACCAAACACAGGACACCGCCCGCTCCCGCAACCTCACACACACACACACACACACACACACACACACGCATAGCTCTCCCTCACTCAGTCAGTCTCGCTGTAACCACACTTGTGTTGACATCAGCATTGTAGTTGCAAAAATATTACATTTCCGTGAATGTATTATATCAAGCACAGTATGAATAGAATATCACTAATATAAGAGTATTTTAACCGAAAACTACTAAAAAAACGAGTAACATCTCTTGAACATCGGAAGGTTAGGTAAAGTCTCTTGTTTTCGTCATGTATTTTATCCTAATTTACATTGAAATACATCACGTTTCAGCAAAAGTACCATTTATTTCTGAGAACATGGAAATGTAATATTTTGCTGAAATGACGTACGTATTACAGTGGAAAGTGACGAAAGCAATGACTCGCTTTCTTTCGCTCAAAAGATGTTACCGTAATCGCTTTTCGAATGGTTTTCAGTTGTGGGATTATAAGGCTAATGATAGGATAGAATATTATTGTAATACAGTACGAGTACAACAGTTTTTTAACTGAAAACCATTCGAAAAGCGATTACGGTAAAATATTTTGAACAACGAAAGAAAGCGAAAGTCTTTCGTCATGATTTTATCCCACTTCCCACTATAATATGTACGTCATTCCAGCAAAAATATTACATTTCCATATTTATTTCCGAGAATATATTCATTCAGTCACAGTTAAGGTAAAATATACTTGTGATGTAATATTTTAATGAAAATCCAGTATCGTAGTTTTCTCTTGTTTCAAATTTAATTAACAAAGATTGATGTTTCAAATGTAATGAACAAAAATTTATGTCCAGTATCTATAAATTAACTTTAATAAATGAATACTTTGTTTTACATCGTCCTGTGCTACCATACCATGGATTTGGCTACTTTGGGCTCGCAAGAGATCTGCCCTGGCAACTGTACTGACACTCACAGCTGGTGGTGTGTTGGTGCATCGTTTCCATTGTTTACTGGTAGTTACTGGTAAATATTTTTCAACCTAACGAAACTATTACCCGTTTAGAGGTCGACCCCCAATTTTTGCAAAATAATTTGGTCTTAAAAACTCGAACTACACACAGGTATATACGGTAAATAAGGACATGGGGGGCCAGGGATTTTTTAGGGGGGCAGCAATAGTACACGGATTTTTAACATTCACGGGTATCTCTGTTACCTAACCCCTGCGAATGTTAAGGGCCGACTGTATTTACTTTTGCTTTTACATTAATTTTATCATCTTCGCCACTGATCGGCTCGTTAGCCACTTGGACAGTCGATCACGTCTCTTCTGCACTGTTGGCAAGTGCTAGGCATGTACTGGCTCCTCTTGAATGAACATAAGAATGGAGGAAACTGCAGCGGGCCTATTGGCCCATACTGGGCAGTCCCATTTACACCCGACCCCTATTGCTCATTTATCCACCCAACCTTTGTTTGAAGCTATCCAGCGTATTCGAGTTAATGATGATGATTGGTAACTTGTTCCATTCATCCACTACTCTATTTCCAAACCAATGTTTGCCTATTTCGCGCCGAAATCTAAATTTGTCTAATTTAAAACCATTGTTACGAGTTCGCTCCTGGTTGGATAGTTTGAGTACCTTTTTAATGTCCCCTTTATTTAGCCCTAACTTCCATTTGTACACCTCTATCATATCGCCCCTTACTCTACGTCTCTCGAGGGAGTGCAAATTAAGATGCTTTAACCTGTCTCTGTACTCAAGGTTCCTAATGCCCGGGATTAGTCTTGTCAATCTCCTCTGAATTCTTTCTAGGGATTCTATATCCATTCTGTAATACGGTGACCAGAACTGAACTGCGTAATCCAAGTGTGGTCTCACAAGCGCAAGATATAGTTCTTGGATAACCTCGCTAGTCTTGTAACTAACACTCCTTTGTATGAACCCAAGTACTTTATTACCTTGTTTCGAGCAAATACACATTGTTTACTTGGCTTAAGATTCCTACTCATCATTACTCCCAAATTTTTCGCACAGCCGGATTTCTTTATAACACCGTTGTTCATCTGATATCTGATTTCTCTGTTTACATCTCCTAGACTAAGTACTTTACATTTGTCCACTTTGAATTCCATCTGCCATTTTTTAGACATTTCGAAAATTTTGTTTAGATCTTCCTGTAGTTTTGCGGAGTCCTCGTCAGATTTAATACACGCCCTATTTTAGTGTCATCAGCAAATTTACTTATGTTGCTGTCTACGCCGTTAACTACAGGTATGTCGTTTATGTATATAATAAATAGTAATGTATCTAAACCTGCTCCAGTGTTGGTCAAATCTGGGACCAGAAAGAAAAGTACTTTATTTTATAACGTTTCCGGCGCAAAATGTATATTTTTTTCGAGTATCTTTTAAGATAAGCCTTCCCTTTGAAAGAAAATGTGGGGTAAAATACAAAAAAAGAACACCGAACAAACCTTTGAAAACCTTACCTAACTTTACCTAACCTACAAAAAACTTAACATTGCTTTCGAGTTCATGGATTACCCCCCCCCCCTCCCCCCACATCTTAACACCGAAAACTACACCAATACATTAAACTCCGATAGCAAGAATAGAGTAAGTGCTGTATAGCCTTAGGATATTTATACGTTAGGTAAGGTTTTCAAAGGTATTTTTAGTGTTCCTTTTTTTTAGTATTTTACCCCCTTATTTTCCCTTTATTTCAAAGCCCTACCCACTTTGAACAACCAAAGTCTTGTCGCTTAAAATACTCGAAAAAATATAAATTTGCCCTGAAACGTAATTGCATAAAGTATTTTACATTTTTCTTTCTCCCTATATAACTATCATAGCTACTGGGGAAATTAATAGAAACGAATTTTAACCATATATTATTCATATGATTAGTGTCATTACTGTACTATTATTTAAGAGCAAATGTCACTATAATTTTACGCGGTTGATTGTCTTAAGCTAGTAACGTCATCAACTACACATCGGAAACTACCACTTGTGTAAATCCTCAACGCTATCAACAAAGACGTATACATTGGGAATCTAGGTATTGCCTGAAACGGCCTTGCCACTCGACCAATATCTAGCCAGAGTATAACCCCAGGAAATCTGTAGTAAAGCAGTAGGCGGTCATCAATTTGTAGAAGGTCCAAAGATTCCCTAAACGCCCTTTTCCTACAGAGTGCACGGTCAGAGCTAAAGCTGTCATTGGTAAGCCTAGTCTTGAAGCTCACATGCGTGCTTTACTCGCTCTCTTTCCTTTTCTTTTTCAATTCATCTGCTAAATTAATATTTTCCAGCATTTTAAGAATCATTATTAAGACAGGAGTCATATGAGCTCTAATGTAATAGTATTTTTATTGTAACAGCACACGAGCTTAAAACTTAGGAATATTATCAATTGTATAATAAAGTGATCAAATATTATTAAGATTTTGTATGCATCAGACATAATTATTTAATATGGATATACATGTATGTACAGTACTAGATGCGAGAGGTACAGTACCACATTTGATAAAACCTTCCTATTGTATTCGATTCTGGCAGCTGGCCGACGTTACATTCAAATGGGTGTAGGACGCCCCCTACAACTGCGTAGCCGCATGCCACCTGCTACGTCCTCCCTAGCAACCAAACGAGCGGCCCAGGGGGGGGCGTCACCAGATGCCACAGTATCCTAGCAACGGAGTCAAAAGACCGGGGTTTCCCACGGGTGACTCACGGCTGCTGTGTATATAAGCTCTGTCTCTCCATTGAGATTCATTCTGGCCTCTCTTCTTGAACACAACACCACCTCCTCCTCCGCCGCTGCCTGGCGGCCCTCGCTTCTCCTCCGCCTGCCTGGCGGTCCTCGCTCCCGCCGGCGAGCATGGCGACCCACCAGCTGTCCTTCTCTGAGCGTCCTCACCAACCAGCTCTCTTATTCTGCTCTCGGTTCCTGAACACGCAACACCTCCTCCAAGCAAGCTCCTCGCTGTCCCGTTCTCATTCAACCTGGAGGCCAGCAACAGGCAACATCTTCTCTAACGAAGCTCCTGCACATCTACCTCCTTCAACACGCTACTCACCGAACGTGTCTACTGAGCAGCTCCTCACCACACGGCACCTCCAGCACCAGACTGTCTACCATATAACTTATATTATATAAGAAAACCACCTTAGAGTTTCCATCCATCCTGAGTGCTAGACAACATTATATCACGAAACCCTACAAATGGTGACTCCCGGAGATTCGCACTCACACAGGATGGAGGAGACACTGATCACGCTCCCAGTCTTCAAGCAGCATAGAAGACTGGCTTATCCACACAGAAGCAGCTCTGCTACTCTAAGCAGACACCAGCTCCTCTTCCTGCCCCAAGCACCACATCCTACCGACCCCAGCACACCCGTCCTGCCTCAGACGCCGACCCCGGCCCAGCAGTAACCCCTGCCGCCCCTGACGCGGCCTCTGTTCCTGAGTGCGGACCCACACACCCCTCTTTTCTCCCTCAGGTACTCCCTGCTAATGTCCTGCACCCTGCTGCTGTCGTGGACCCAGCTGCTGTCACGAGCCCTCATCCGCTTCTGCTGACGCAGCCCCTGCTCCTGACCCAGGCCCACACACCCCAGCAGGCGCATCTGACGACTCTGTACCTGTCATGAGGGAAGCACAACATTCATCGCCTACACACACCCTTTTCTCCCTCTCTCCTCCCACAGATAGTGTGTATATAGACAGTTGTATCCAGCGACCGGCTCATCCACGCCATCGCCGTTGTCTCACATGAGGCATGCACCGCCCGTTCTGCCTCACATGTGCTAAGCAACTCTACAGACAACAAGTCTCCTACACCGCCTGGAGGGAAGGGGGAGTATTGTAGTGGACGTCTCCCCTACAACTGCGTAGCCGCATGCCACCTGCTACGTCTTCCCTAGCAACCAAACGAGCGGCCCAGGGGGGGGCGTCACCAGATGCCACAGTATCCTAGCAACGAGTCAAAAGACCGGGGTTCCCACGGGTGACTCACGGGTGACTCATGGCTGCTGTGTATATAAGCTCTGTCTCTCCATTGAGATTCATTCTGGCCTCTCTTCTTGAACACGCAACACCTCCTCCTCCGCCGCTGCCTGGCGGCCCTCGCTCCCGCCGGCGAGCATGGCGACCCACAAGCTGGTCCTCCTCTGAGCATCCTCACCAACCATCTCTCTCTACATCACGCTTGTAACCATGCTACCTTCCCAGTACCAAGCTGCATTGTACATCCAATACAACATGTATATAGAGAGCACATTGGGAGTTTCCTTTCTCCATTCCATCCTGAGTGTGAACCAAACATCAAAAACCCCACAACCTCGCTTGCAACCAGCCTTTGGAACTCCTTTTCAGCCCTTCTACATTCTATCTTTGCTTGGTTTCTGGCTCTTGCATGCATCCTCCTGTCCTGCTCATCGTTTGAACCCAACCCACGTCTTGAATTTCTGGGCTTTCTTCTTAACTTTGCCGACCGCACTGGGTTTGGTCTTGGGTATATATTTATCGATCAAATGGGTCACTTTACTAGTTATGATAATCAGCGTAGTGTCTGCGTTCTTGTGCCTTAAGGAGTCAGGCCAGTGGATACCCCTCATCTCTTCCCTCACCCCGTTGTAATTTCCCTTGTAATATTTGCACCTTGGCCTGGCCTTATCTTGAACTAGGTAACAGTTAAATCTGAATGATAACACTATATGGTGACTGGTGCCAACTGGGGCAAGGTGTTCCAGTTTGGCCACCATACCCTCCTCGTTATGATGAGGTCTAGTGGCTTGGGTGTTTGCTCCCTCCTGTAATGTGTCGGGTCTCTAACATGTTGGAACAGAAAATTTTCTCCGAGAGTTTCTACAAAAAGAGTAGCAGGGTTATTCAAGTCATTTGGGGTGAACTCGTCTCTCCAGTCGATGTCACCATCGTTAAAGTCCTCCATGATAAGGAGGTGGCGAGGGTTGAGCATCGCCGCGTTGTTGAGGCTCTTACGTTCCTATAATTTAGTGGGCCACAGTTTGGGGATCTGTAGATACACCCGACAATAAGTAAGTCCCCTCCTTTTGGTTTAATTTCACACCACTTGGACTCTTCATGCTCTCTTTGTTCCCCTCTCTCCCTAAGTTTCTCTTTTAACCCATTTACTTTGTTGCAAAAAACTTAGTAAACAATGCCGCCAAAGGGAACATTTAGGGCTGCGTGGCTTCACTATGAGGAATTCAAGGATTGACACAGGAGGGTCGAGGGCAACGCCAATAAAGCGTGCTGCCGTTTATGCTGTGCAGATTTGTCCGCCGAAACATCAGCTCTGAAACGGCATAAACTCTCACAAATGCACAACAGAAATGTTGAGAGGCTGGAAGAAATGGACCAGGAAATGGACTCTCCTGAGGTTGGTGACGCATGGTAGGCAGAGCTGAAGTTACACTTGCGACCTGAGATGTTTTTATAGACACGACCGCCTAAATAGACATGACAAAAATTCAATTGAACCCAATAAAGTAGAGGACCACCTACCAGATGACCCACTATGTCTTGGGGCTGGTGTGCATATACTTCTTCAGACATCTGAATTTGCAGGCATTAAAGACCAACTGAAAGATGTCAGATCAAGATGTCGATTATTCCTCATAACAGCCTGTCAACAAATGAAGGCCACATTTTCTTTCGATAATAAGTTATTGCAGCTTTGTACAGAGCTATCAGTTATAAAGTGCCTAATCAACAATGCCTTGATGGTAACCCCATCTTTCGTAAGCTTAGCCATGGAAGTACCGCAAATTTATAATGGGGATCTCCAGGCACTAGATGATGAATGGCGGCATTTGCACAACATGTCTCTCCCAGATGATATCAAACAAACAACACCGAAACATTTTTCATGGGATTACGTAAACTGGAAAAATGAGGATGATGAACCAGCATTTTCCGTATTTCCACAATTTGTCCTTGATCTGCTGGCCCTTCCAACTTCCAATGCAGACGCGGGGAGGATGTTTTAAAAGGTGGGTCACGTTAAAACTAAGCAAAGAAACAAACTACAAATTCAACACAAGTAGCTTTGGTTCATGTTTCCGAGGCAGTAAAAGCCAGAGGGAATGTGTGAAATTTCAACCTATGCAGGATATGATAAGATTTGTGAAACCGCAAGCAGTGTGTGGTGATTAATGGCACGAAATCGTCATCTGTACCTGTCACAAGTGGGGTACCACAGGGCAGTGTATTGGGCCCGCTGTTGTTTGTTTGTTTCATAAATGACATGCCTGACGTTGTACACTCCTCCATACAAATGTTTGCCGATGACGCCAAGTTATTTCGAGAAATTAAGAACCAAGCAGACTGTGAAGAGCTGCAGAAGGACCTCTGTGGGCTCCAGGAATGGTCGAAGAAATGGCTGCTGAGATTCAATGTCACGGGATGAAGAAACTGCACTAGTTGAGACTGTGTGTGAGAAGGACCTAGGTGTGTATGTTGACAATGAGCTGAAGTTCTCGGGCCATTGCGAGAAGAAGGTAAATCAGGCAAATAAATTATTGGGTCTTATAAGAAGGTCGTTCAGATATCTAGACGGTCCGTCCCTCGTAACAATCTTCAGGAGTGAAGTGCTTCCCCATCTGGAGTACTGTCACCCCATCTAGTCCCCGAGATATGCTAGGGACTGTCAGTTGGTTGAAAATGTTCAAAGGAGGGCCACCAGACTGGTGCCTGCACTTCGGCACCTGTTACCCTGAGAGATTGGAGCGCCTGAACTTGCCTAGCTTATGCTACAGACGGGCAAGGGGGGACCTAGTTGAGGTGCATAAGCATCTCAGGGGGCACGAATCAGTTGAGTGCCCTTACTTGGAGCTGGCGGACGCTCGCCCCACAAGGGGTCACAGCTCAAGATTGAAGAAGCCGCAAGTCCAGAAAACCGTGAGGGCAAACTTTTTCGGAGTGAGGGTTGTAAACTCTTGGAACAATCTGTCAGAGAGTGTTGTGACGGCACCGAGTGTGAGCTCTTTCACGACAAGACTTAACCAACACTGGAGCAGGTTCAGGTACATTCAGGAGCCGGTGCATGCCCGGTATTTCCCAACAGTGCGTGACAGAGACGTGACTGACCGCCCGGGCTGCTAGCGAGCCGATCTTTTGGTGAAGAAGATGAATGAAAAGGAAAAGTAATCAGAGAGGTGACCGATCGCCCAAGTGGCTAACAAGCCGATCAGTGGCGAAGAAAATAAATTTTTACAGTATAGATTTATTTTCAGTTGTACATATGTATTATTATATATCTGATATCAATAACTATTTTGTTTGTATTTGTAATATTCATCAAGGCTGTACGCTTCATGTATAATAATAATAAATTAATAATGTGTATCCAACTTGTTTCATCCTACGACTATACCAAAACTCAAATTGAAATAGTTACTCAAGGAAACCCATTTCCTCTAGTCACATCTGCCTATAAAGAAAACGTGTGGTAATGCGGTATTTTGGCAACTCTGCATGACCCTAGGAGGCTTGGCTCGGTTTACAAATTTGACAAGTACTGTACGTGAGACCTCAAACCTTCCATTACCATAACTGACAATGACCCCCATAGAAGAAAAGTACTGTATGCAGGTGAGTGAAAATTAACTGCCGCGACCTTAAATTCCACAATTTTCCAAAAGGTAAGAAAAACTGAAGTGAATTATTATTAAATAAGAGTTTTAAGCTGTTGTAATGACCAGATTTGACCAACACTGGCATAGGTTTAGATACTTCTAGGAGCCAGTACTTGCCAACAGTGTGTAACAGACATGACCGACCATCCATGTGGCTAATGAGCTGGTCAGTGGCGAAGAAGATAAAGTAAAGCATAAATACGTATGTAATTTTTAGCCTAGTGTTTTGGGTCAATACAATATGCAGCTAATATGCGACTGGTGGCCATCAGCGGTTCGGTAATTATGGAAACTGTTTATAGTTTTGTATGATGATTACCTTCACTTCTATTCCCTTTTGGGTATTATTGCATTTACACACCGTTCATTCCTACCACTAATCTATTATCATATTCGAATAAGACGTCTAATTTTAAGATAATTTTCATCTATTACATTACCTGCGGAAATGTTTAATAACGGAGATAGCTCTTCCAAAAAAATTTATATTTCTTACATTAACCTCCAGCCATTAGCGTCTGCCTCCCACCCAACACTGCCTGTCTCTCTCGTTTTATTTTGGGTCTCATATTTTGAAATTCAAGTTCAGTTCCGACCATGGAGGTCTGCGATGGATGGCACGTACTGTAAAGGATATGGAGCTGATTGCGAGTTGTCGGAGAAAAAAAACGTAGAAACTATAGCATTTTTTCAATCGCGTGGTGTTTTTCCAACCTCAGTAAAGTGTACTAAGAGCAAGACGGAATGTAAATATCGCAAAGACCAACGTGTGTGACGTTGGGTAAGAATCCCAGAATGCAACGACGAACAAGAACCAGGCCAATAAGGTAAGAAATAAATGATTCCATCATATGGTGAGAGTCAGTTAAGTTAGGTTAGGTTTTTGTTTTTCTAGTGTTTTTTATTTTTTATTTTTTAGTTGCTTAGCCACTTTTTTTTCGGAAATCGTCAAGCGAAAAAAAATCGCAAAAAAAAGGCTAATTTCCGCCAAAAATGAAGGTCATATTCGGTCTAAACACACACAAATACACTAGAAAATTATATTTATTTACTTGCTAGAAGTGAATGGTGTGACAATGCAAATTTACCCCCTTTTGGCTAATATTGACGACTAACCCACCGATGCGTTAATTGTTTTGATGTTAATTTTCTTAAAATATTTTCATCGGTAAATTCTGATATGATAATCATTTAATTTGAAAATGGTTCGTTTGGTAGATAATTAGGCACCTAGGCGCGCATTAACTGCACTACTTCATCTTGCTCAGGTGGCTCATTGTACGTCTATGAGCCACTTGTGATGGGTGGCTGTTCTCTTGTCCATAAAAAAAATTAAAATTACACCATTTCATAGTAAGTTCTTTCTGCTTAATATGCCAGGGGCGCCTAACAGCCAGGAAGTTAGGTAGGTTTCTTTGGTTAGGCTGGTAAGCTCTTATAACAATGCTACCAGAAGCTGCTTTTTTTTCTTATCAACTAAGGTTAGGTTAGGTTTAATTTAGAAATAACCACTTTTTAACGCATTTGCCAAAACTACAAATGTTCATCATAATTTAACACAGTATAGTTTCAGCATTTTAAAAATCTGTTTCAATGAAAAAGTCGGCGACGGGTCAGTTGTCAATAATTACTGTCGGGGTAGATGTGAACAATGTATCTTGGCCGTCAGAGGTTTGGTAATTATGAGGGTGTTCTTAGATATGGTTTTGTACGCTGATTACTTTCAGTTGTATTCATTGTGTAAGTGCTTAGTCTTCTAGATATAGCCAAGTTAAGATAGAGGTATTTATATTTTTTCCTAACATAATACAGCATCCTTTAATAAAATGAGTAAAAACTGGGTATTTTTAACCCTATTTTCAGTGTAAAACAGCGGATGGTCACCTTCCAAATAATTATCCAGTATGCTATTTAATTTTTATGAGTACAGTAATATTAAATTTTCATGATGAGAAAACTTATCTCTTTTAAGCCATAACTAGTTAAGTTATAGGGTAAAAGTGGAGGAGATGGTTAGTACCCGAAGGTGTTGTTATGGCACAGGATACGGGTACGGTAGCTGTGTGCAAAACGTCGATGTCTATTGGTATGGCAGCCTAATGCGCATGTGTGGTGGGCAGACTAAACAATGATAGTGACTAAGATGGCCTTCTTTCTGATCAATCTATCCTAACCAAACCAGACTTAACCTAACCTATTGTAATATCCTTTTAACCTAACCTATTTTAATATCCTTTTAAGCTAACCTATTTTGATATCCTTTTTGCTTACTAGTCAGTCAATACAGCTGCCTTACCAATATCCTATGTGATTGTTTTACCTACACCTGCTGTACCTGTATCCACTACATTTTATAATTTGTTCATATTTTACACAGTTATTGTATGGGTGATCGTAACTAAAAAAATGATACAACTTTTTCCTTAATTTTATTTTATATTTTTTCTCTATATACAATTATGCCGGGGCGCTCCTGCTTAACACGAGTACTTAAGGTACTGGATATTTGGACCCATATTCTGGAACAGGGTGGTAATATCAACAATATTTACCTAGATTCTTCCAAGGCTTTTGACAGTGTACCCCATGAAAGGTTAAAAATTAAACTGGAAGGGTACGGTATTCGGGGAAATGACCTAATGTGGATTGGAGATTTTCTCCATGACCGTAAGCAATATATGTGGTGATTAATGGCACGAAATCATCAATGTGTAACCGTCACAAGCGGGGTTGTTTGTTTGCTTCATAAATGACATGCTTGACGTTGTACTCTCCTCCATGCAAATGTTTGCTGATGAAACCAAGTTATTTCAGGAAATTAAGAACCAAGCAAACTGTGAAGAGCTGCAGAAGGATCTCTGTGAACTTCAAGAATGGTCGAAGAAATGGCTGCTGAGATTCAATGTCACGAAGTGTAAGAGGCTCCCCCTGGGAGGCATATCATATGTCCCAACGGGACGAAAAAACTACATTAATCGAGACTGCATGTGAGAAGGACCTAGGCGTGTACGTTGACAATGAGCTGAAGTTCTCGGGCCACACCGAGAAGAAGGTAAATCAGGCAACTAAATTATTAAGTCCTATAAGAAGGTCGTTCACATATCTAGACTGTCTGTCCCTCGTAACGATCTTCAAGAGTGAAGCGCTTCCCTGTCTGGAGTACTGTCACCCCGTTTGGTCCCCGAGATATGCTAGGGACTGTCAGTTGATTGAAAATGTCCAAAGGAGGGCCACCAGACTGGTGCCTGCACTTCGGCACCTCACCTACCCTGAGAGATTAGAGTGCCTGAAATTGCCTAGCTTATACTAAAGATGGACAAGGGGAGACTGAATTGAGGTGTATAAACATCTCAAGGGGCACTTCTCAGTCGAGTGTCCTTACCTGGAGCTGGCAGACGCTCGCCCCACAAGGGGTCATGGCTCAAGGTTGAAGAAGCCGCAAGCCCAGAAAAGTGTGAGGGGTAACTTTTCTGGAGTAACAGTTGTGAACTCTTAAAACAAACTGTCAGAGAGTGTTGTGATGGCACCGAGTGTGAGCTCTTTCAAGACCAGACTTGACCAACACGGGAGCAGGTTCAGATACATTCAGGAGCCGGTGCATGCCCAGTACTTGCCAACAGTGCGTAACAGAGACGTAACTGATCACCCAAGAAGCTAACGAGCCGATCCGTGGTGAAGAGGATAAAAGTAAAGTAAAATAAAAGTAAATAACCTGTAGTGGGCAGACCATGAAAGATAGGGAAATTGTGGGGGTAGAAAGCAGAAAAAGAGTGAGCATTTGGCAGTCATTTCAGGTCTCGGTAAAGATTTGGAAAAGGTCGACCACAGAAACTACTGTACCTGTATTAACAAAAATAAGTTTTTTGGTGTATTTTGTGGTGTTTCAAGTGAATCTGTCCTTCATTTACATTGGAAATGAGCCATTATGGAGATTTCGCCCCCCAATTACCAATAATATTGGTTGCACACAGTGGCCAGGACTTTGAACTCGAGGGAATTGTGGGGCAAAAACTTGCAAAAAAAATCAAAACGAAACCTCCTAATCAGAGAAACCAGAAGAACCTGACCTAGCCTTCTAGCCAGGAGACTGCTAGAGGATAAAATGATGCTATTTGTAGGAGTATAGTCTTGTGATCATTGTACTGTACAGTGTTTGGCTTGAAACATGTACAGAGTGAAATATTGTCAGTAATGTTCCTTTTAATTGTTGGCACAAAACACCAACACATGATATCCTTACACAATCTTTCTATATTTTGTGCATGATTGCCTATAGCACTTCACAGAGGTTGGCAGAATACCATGAGCCTTACAAAGTCAATGGAAGTACTGTAGCTCCATTTTCAAATACGCAATGAATGATTTGCCAAGCTTAGTGAGAACAACCTGTTCAGAGAGAAGCCATTTTGCGACTAGCCAACTAAAATTCAAAACTCAGAGGATGTGCAGGAGTATCACATGACACTGAGAGCAATGCTGATTGGTGGGACAGAGTCACATGACACCGAGACTCACGGCGATTGGTGGAACATGCTCGTGTGAGTCAGATGTAAAGTTGTGAACAGTGTCTCCTGCCAAAATGTAAGTTCCTGTGTGAAATCAGTAAATCCCCCTATATAAATACGAAGTTCCATTGTCAACCTTTACTGCATCTTAACCCAGGTCGCTACGTGTTTTGTAAGCGAAGAGATTACTGTCGATAATTCTCTTATGGTGCCGCGTGTTTATGGCCATTGTTAAACTAATAAATTTTGAATCCGTTATTGATTATCTTTAAAATAAACAATGGTGCATCACATCTCAGATTTTATTACCATAAATAATGGCTTCATTGTCTTTTTTTCTTCATTTTTTCATGTTGTAAGTTTCACTTTCCTGGTTCTTTTCTGTTCTGTCGGTGCAAATCCCTTTGATTTTGTTTTTCTTTTTGGAATAGGTTCTTAAACCTATTCTGCATTTAAATGACGAGAATCCTATACAATACTGCATGTAATTGGATTCGAGTCCCATTTTAAAGGTTTGGATACATATCCCCAATTTCTTTGGATTATAATTGGTTTCTAAGTGAACTGTATGTCTCTGCACTTTTTGTTCTTCCACAAGGGGACAGACTCAGAGAGACAGACAAGCTCTCCATCTTGACACTAACTACATAGTTCTCAGGCCCTGTGCGGGTTGTTCTTTATCATTTCACAAGTTATCTCTGATGGTGGAGGAGGAAGTCTGTCTTCAAGAGTTCATCTGTCAACATGGCAGGATGTGCAAGTGTTCAAAATGAGGCAGAGAACTGACAGAGAAGAAGTTAGGTAATTTTAAGTTAGGTTCTGTGCATGTTTACAGTATTTCCATTTTTATGTTAAGTATCGTGCATTTAGTATCTCCAGAAATTTAGTTAAAATCCATAAGATTTTTCTACTGCTAACTATGTTGTCCACCTTTACCTTTAGTTACGGTTTTTTATATTTTTTATTCCCCTTTACAGTTCTTATTTAAAATATGCTTGGCTATCTATTTGTAATTATTCTTTTTTTTAGTAGGCCAGAGTAATGTGTGTACTGTAGTTCATTTAATACTTTTAATAAAATACTAAACTATTTTTTATATCATAGTTGGTATTCAAAATACTGATTTATTTGTCTTATTTCTAGGTTCTTGGTTTGGTTGAGGTGCTTGAACATTGCTTGTCATAAGGATTAAACTTTCCGCCAGCAATATTCCACACATATACGCAGTGACCATTTTGTCCGTGACCAGTACCTAATGGTCATATTCTTCATAATTTGGAAGGTAATAAATCTACAGTTCATATATTATACAGTACACTAATTATTTTCTGTCAGGAATATTTTTTCTTTAACCCCCTGAGAGCCGCAGTAAATTTTGGGCTGGTTCTTTACGAATGTTTAATTACCCATGAAAAAATTAAATTTGCAGTACAATTTACACTAATTTTTAATTTCATGTCCAAGTGTATTTACTGAATATGGCACATTAATTTCTTTACTGTGTATTAATGAGTGTTAGTGTTATATTATTTGTTGTGAAAATTAAGTATTTATAGGGAAAACCTAATGATTTATGCAAAAGTGTTATTATGGAAATTCTGGAGTGTAATACATGTGTAAAATGGAGCAGTAGACAGTTATATACATCTTTTATTACAAAATATTATGTTGGCAATGCCATAAACCATCATACAAAAATACAACAATAAAAAATTATCGATCCATACATGTGTGCATGTAATTACTAAATGTAAAAAAAGTAACACTTGCCAGCACTGCAGGCGAAGAATGAAGTATCGTAGTAGGTGACATAGAGGCATGGTAGGTGACATAGAGGTATGGTAGGTGACACAGAGGTATGGTAGGTGACACCGGCATGGTAGGTGATGCAGGTGACAAGATATGCTTAGATTTTCCCAGATAATTTTATTTATCTCGGCATTTCCCGAGTTATACTAATACATTCCGAGACCATATCCATGCCAAGTTATATGAAATTCCGAGTTATCAAATGCCAAGTTATCGAGGGTTTACTGTATAATCAATTTGCAGGTGTTTTCTGTTGACGATCATTGAACTTTTTAACTTTTCAGATCCTTACACCAGTAAATTTAGAATCCTTCAAACAAGTTCTTCTGAAGCATATTATTGAGAACATACTGTATAGGTACATTTGTGTTGATTATTTGTTAAAGTGTACTGTATTACCCGCCTACTTGGTTTCCTTAACGCGTTTATCATTATCGTGCTGCAGTGAACTTTGCAGTGTATGTTATAGTGAGATAACAAGCTTGAGGGTTTGACAAAAAACAACAACCCCCCCCACCAGCATCTTTCTACTAATGCAAGTGTTAAAAACCAATATTATTGATATTCTCTTAATTATTAATTGTTGTGCATACCATATAAAGTTAAGATAAAATTTTTACTACAACATAGTTGTGTGTCAAAAGTGGATTCAGTCTCTATTGAATAATCCTTATGTTCTGTTGTTACTTAGGTTTTCACTTACGACCGTTCATTGACGTAAGCGGTACAACTGTACTGTATATACTGTAGCTAGTATGATTGTTAAAGTGTTATATACTGTAGCTAGTATGATTTGTACATTTTCATTTTGAGTTGTTCAAGGATGTATTGGTATGCCAATTAGCCCCGTTCATGAACCTACGGCCACTTAAAACTCATAGATGATGATGACGATGATTTTAAGAAACAGATCATACATTAATGTTATTGTACTTAGAATTACATTAAAGTTTATGTACACAGTAAATTCTTAAGATCAACTTTAAATACTTTCTATGATTTACAGGTATTTTCATTTTCTTTTTCAGTTGATGTACAATAATGACTTAAATTACAAGTGTTCAAAATAAGATGGATAGTAGTGCCCCAGATATGCTGATGGACACAGAAGTTTGTCCACAGCCAGGCTATAACTGCCACCATACACACACTGGATAAAGGTAAGTGAATGTTAAAATGTTTTGCAAGTTTAGTGACATAGTGTGGCTACCAAATTATACCATGTTAGTATATTACTGTTTAGAGGACTTTTATTTGAAGAAGCGCCAATGATGTATATAACATTTTGATTTCTTACCTAATTTTGTTTACTTTATTATTTACAGTTAAAAAGAAATTATATAACTTGTTACAACTTTATTTTAATACACTTGAGCTCAGCACTTTTACCATCAGGGTTTCAGACAGGAGTAAATCTCTACACAAATCCTCTCAGAATTTTTGCTATGGAATTTTATCCCATTAGGTGAACTACCAGCAACAGCTCTTCAGTAGAGTTTATTGAACATGTTATTAATTTATTTGACATGTTCAATAATTTCAAGCATCATTTGAAAGAGCATAGGGGCAATTAAAAAATTTTTTTTCATCTTTGAACATACAAGTATAGGAAAATATAACTTATACCCAGTCATGAAAATTTTGTGTACCATCAAATGTACATATTTATTATGTCAATGGTTGGATGTATGAGTGCTGGACAAAACCCCCAGTTAAGGTGCAAAGAAGGACAAAAGTTCCAATTTTTATATTAATGTTTCCCAAGGTCAGTAAACTCCTAGCCTCTGGTGGGAATATATATACTGTCCTGTCCTGTTTTTGTGAGCCTTGTACTGTAGTGTTTTTAAGGATCATGTAGTATATCCACCCCACTCAGCTCCACCTCAAGTATCTTCACCTCAGCTCACTTCACCTTATGAGACTTTTATAGCTGTATAATTAGGTTAACAAAAATGAAAAACAAATTAATGCTTCTTATTTTACATCTTTATTAATAGGTTACCAAAAGTCATGGTTGGCAAAGACCATTGGTTTTTCTTTAAAAAAAATATTATGCCATTATGTTGGTTTTAATAAGCTTGAGGTACTTTTAGCCCTTTTAATAACTCTTTAATATGCTATTAATCATAAGCATTACATTCAGGATGATTTAGCAATCATTTATAGTCTTTTTCATCTCAAAAACTCACTGTACAAAGGCCAAACATAAGCCTTGATCAGTCATCCAGTCTCCTCCTACATGTTTAAAGGCAAAAAATAAGTTCATATTAATGCATGAAAAAACTATTTTCCTTTTACAGTTGAAAGTCTTAAAGAATTCATTTAAGTACAGTTGGAGAGAGAGAGAAGGAGAGAGAGAGAAGGAGAGAGGGAGAGAGAGAGGGAGACGGTCAGTGTCAACTTGGTTCCCCAGGACCTATATACAGTAATACATCATCTGAACACATTAGAGTCTAGAGGCTCAGAGACCAACCATAAACAGAAGCAGTCACCAGTTATACTGAACAGTGGCAACTTGGCTCCCTTATAATCAGGATGTGAGGTGTGTGCAGACCTGTAAGAAAGCTTATTATTTTAAATTTCACCAGTGTATAATAGTTCACATCAATGTATATATGAACAATCATGGAGACATAACACATCCCTTTCTAACACCCACATTTATTTAAAACGTTTCACTTTCTGTCCCATTTACTCTTACTGTTGCCCAGCTTTTACTGCATATGATAGTCTTCTTCCCACCCCATACACTTGTAATGCCTCCCACATAACACGTGTCATATGCTTTTCCAAAGAAAAACAAATTAAAACCAAACAAAAAAGCAAAGATTAAAAAACATTTTTTTTGTTTGGTTTCAACCATTGGTTTAAATCAGCCAACCCTTTGAAAACCATAGGCAACGAGTAATTAGCGTTTGAAAGGTAATTTAAATTTTTTGATGTCATTTGGACAAGTAATTACTGTATACAAATATCAAATTGCAGACAGCAGATTCTTAAACAGCACTCTCAGAAGTACTGTATGTACCTAGTACAGTACAGTGGGGTATGCTATAATGAATCTAATTGGTTCTAGAACCTTGTTCGTTACAGCATTCGTTCGTTATAGGATTAATCCGTTCCAGGCCCCCAAATACAACCACTTAACACTGAAAAATATAATATAAAATTGTAAAAATTGTAAAAAAGTGCATAAATATGCATATAAACCCCTGAAATAAAGAATATCATTAATATTTGTAATAAAAAAACAATAAATTAGAAAAAAAAAAATTAAATAATGTTCGTTGTAGGAGTTTCGTTCGTTATAGCATTCTCAATTTTATAGGTAAAACCGTTCGTTATAGGAATATTCGTAGTAGAATCCGTTCGTTATAGCATACTTACTGTATGTGGATTTTAAACCAAATCCGTGATATCAGACACTGGCGAGAAAAGGGAGTAAAGCTTCCTCATATATATATATATATTTTTTTTTTATGGGGAATAGCCCACCGGACACAGATCATCAACTCTCTCACAATGGGGCCTGGGGGGGCAAACTTTATAGACCAAAAAAAATTAAAATTTAAAAAGTAGAAAAAAAGACTGTGTTACTCTATGTAGAATGCTTGAAAACCAGCTTTTTGAAGCGAGACATTGTAAGAGTATGGAAACACAGAAGAAGGCAGAGCATTCCACAGTTTGGCTGTGTGAGGAAAGAAAGATGTACTATAACAGGTTATTCTGGTGTGAGCGACATCTACATAGAAACAGTGGGCACCTCGGGCAAGACCGGTGTTACGAGCCTACTGCCAAATCCACCGAAGATTGCCCGTTAAAGTACCTGTAAAAGAGAGAGAGTGAAGCAACATTGCAGCAAAGAGAAAGGGAAGAGAGATTGTCGACTAAAGGAGAGTTAATAAGACAAAATGTCTCTCATTCCACCCTATCTAACAGTTGGACAGAAAACGAGCCACCCCAGATATGAGAGCAGTACTCCAAGTTAGGACGAATGAATCCCTTATAAACTTGAAGCAACTGCTCAGGAGTGAAGGAGCTACAGCACCTGTATAGCATTCCTAGCTTTTGGGAGGCAGCTTTAGCATAAATATATCTTCATAACAAACATAACTACACTACATTAACATACTTTTTCACTTTTACTTTTATCCTCTTCACCACTGATTGGCTCGTTAGCTCCTTGGGCGATCGGTCACGTCTGTTACGCACTGGCTCCTGAATGTACCTGAACCTGCTCCAGTGCTTGTCAAGTCTGGTCCTGAAAGCTCACACTCTGTGCCATCACAACACTGGCAGATTGTTTTAAGAGTTCACAACTCTCACTCCAAAAAAGTTAACCCCTCACAGTTTCTGGACTTGCGGCTTCTTCAACCTTGAGCTGTGACCTCTTGTGGGACGAGCGTCCGTCAGCTCCAGGTAAGGGCACTCGACTGAATAGTGCCCTTTGAGATGCTTATACACCTCAATTAAATCTCTGTAGTACAGTACTGTATAAGCTAGGCAATTTTAGGCGCTCTAATCTATCAGGGTAGCTGAGGTGCCGTAGTGCAGGCACCAGTCTGGTGGCCCTCCTTTGAACATTTTCAGTCAACTGACAGTCCCTAGCATATCTCGGGGACCAGACGGGGTGACAGTACTCCAGATGAGGAAGCACTTCACTCTTGAAGATTGTTACGAGGGACGGACGATCTAGATATCTGAACGACCTTCATATAAGACCTAATAATTTAGTTGCCTGATTTACCTTCCTCTCGCAATGGCCCGAGAACTTCAGCTCATTGTCAACATACACACCTAGGTCCTTCTCACATTCAGTCTCAATTAACGCAGTTTCTTCGTCTCGTTGGGACATATAATATGCCTCCTTACTGTTGGTCTATTTGTTTTTTGTGAAGTGACGATCGCCCTTCTTGAGGCCCCTGGGAGCGCCGCCGCCCCTAATTACCCCACAATCGAATCGTGGAGCATATATTGGAAATCAGCATGCTCAGGAGTATCTATAATGTGATTTTCAACAAAATCTAATTTTGGGCCCAAACTGTCGAAAATGTAAGCCTTACACCTTACTAATTTTTCGACCAAAATATACTCTTCTCTCCGATATGAAATTTAAGAGGTTTAACTATTTAAGTACTTGCAGAATAACACTTTAACACCAAAATCACAATTTGGAAACCCATAGTTGACCAGTAATTAACATTGAAAAATTTCATTAATTTTCCAAGCATCATTAAAACCACTAATTACCCTGCATTCGAATCATGGACCTTATATTCGAAATCAAGGGCCCTTGGGGACACCGCCTCCCCTGGCAGGGCGCCACCACATCTGAAAGGCCACCAGGGGACACCGCCACCTTTGGGAGCCACCAACCCCAAGAGCGCTGCTGCCCCTGGGAGTGCCCCTGGGATGGCCCTCTAAGGGCGGTGGCGCTCCTAGGAGGGATCCTAGGGGCGCCACTGCCCTTGGGAGGGCTCTTTGGGGTACCGCCGTTCTTGGGAGGGCTCCTGGGACAGCCGCCGCCCCTGGAAGGGCCCTTGGGAGCCCCACAGCTCCTGGCAGGGCCCCTGCGATCTCCGCCACCCCTGGAAGGGCCCCTGGGAACACCGCTGTCTTTGGGAGGGCCCCGGAGGGTGCCGCTGCTTCTGGTAGGGCCCCTGGGGTGCCGGCGCCCTACTCAAGGTCTCACAAGGACACTAAAATAGGACGTTTAATTAAATCTGACGAGGACTCCGCAAAACTACAGGAAGATCTAAACAAATTTTTCGAATGGTCTGAAAAATGGCAGATGGAATTCAATGTGGACAAATGTAAAGTACTCAGTATAGGAGATGTAAACAGGGAAACCAGATACCAGATGAACAACGATGCTATTGAGAATCCGACTGCGAGAAAGATTTAGGAGTAATGATAAGTAGGAATCCTAAGCCAAGTAAACAATGTGTATTTGCTCGAAACAAGGCTAATAAAGTACTTGGGTTCATACAGAGGAGTGTTAGTTACAAGACTAGCGAGGTCATCCTAAAACTATATCTTGCGCTTGTGAGACCACACTTGGATTAAGCAGTTAAATTCTGGTCACCGTATTACAGAATGGATATAGAATCCCTAGAAAGAATTCAGAGGAGATTGACAAGACTAATCCCGGGCATTAGGAACTTTGAGTACAGAGACCGGTTAAATCATCTTAATTTGCACTCCCTCGAGAGACGTAGAGTAAGGGGCGATATGATAGAGGTGTACAAATGGAAGTCAGGGCTAAACAAAGGGGACATTAAAAAGGTACTCAAACTATCCAACCAGGAGCGAACTTGTAACAATGGTTTTAAATTAGACAAATTTAGATTTAGGCACGAAATAGGCAAACATTGGTTTGGAAACAGAGTAGTGGATGAATGGAACACGTTACCAATCATCATCATTAACTCGAATACACTGGATAGCATAAAACATAGGTTGGATGGATATATGAGCAAAAGGGGTTGGGTGTAAATGGGACTGCCCAGTATGGGCCAATAGGCCCGCTGCAGTTTCCTCCATTTTTATGTTCTTATGTTCTTATAAGGACTCATTAGGTCTCACAAGGACTAATAAGGACTTACAAGGACTCATAGGGACTAATAAGTACTCATAAGGATTCACAAGGACTCATAACATTTCTCAAGGTCTCATAAGGACTCAAAAGTACTAATAAGGACTAATAAGGTCTCACAAGGACTCACAAGGACTCACAAGGACTTATAAGGTCTCAAAGGGTCTCAAGGACTCATAAGATCTCACAAGGATTTGCAAGGACTAATAAGGACCCCTAGGGGATGCCTCCGCCTTTGGGAGGGCCCATGGGGGAGCCTCCGCCCCTGGGAGAACCCCTAGTGGCACCTCCGCCCCTGGAAGGGCCTCTGGGGGCGCCACCGCCCCTGGGAGGGTCCTTGGGGGTGCCACCACCCCTGGGAAGGCACCTGGGGGCGCTACCAACCCTGGTAGGGCCTCTAGTAGCGCCGTCACATTTGGGAGGGCTCCTGGTGGCACCACTGCCCTTGGGAGGGGCTTTGGGGGTGCCACCACCCCTGGGAAGGCACCTGGGGGCACCACCAACCCTGGTAGGGCCTCTAGTAGCGCCGCCGCCCTTGGGAGGGCAGCTGGGAACGCCGCTGTCCCTGGGAGGGTCCCGGGGCATGCCGCCGCTTGAGGGAGGGTTCCTGGGGCTGCCGGCGCCCTACTCAAGGTCTCACAAGGAATCACAAGGTCTCACAAGGTACTCACAAGGACTCGCAAGGTCTCACAAGCACTCCCAAGGATTCACAAAGTCTCACAAGGACTCACAAAAACTCACTAGAACTCACAAGGTCTCACAAGGACTCACCAGGACTCACAAGGGCTCAAGAGGTTTCATTAGGACTCACATCATCTCGCAAGGATTCACAGGAACTCACAAGGTCTCACAAGAACTCACAAGGGCTCATGAGGACTCACAAGATCTCACAAAGACTCACAAGGCATCTTAAGAATTCACAAGGTCTCACAAGGTCTCACAAGGTCTCATAAGGATTCAAAAGGACTAACAAGGTTTCACAAGTTTTCCCAAGGACTCACAAGGTCTCAGAAGGACTCACAAGGTCTCACAAGGTCTCCCAAGGACTCACAAAAATCTCAAGGTCTAAGAAAGACTCACAAGGAATCACAAAGTCTCACAACAACTCACAAGGACTTACAAGGTCTCACAAGGTCTCACAAGGACTCACACGGATTCAAAAGGACTCACACGGACTCATAACGTCTCACAAGGACTCGTAAGGTCTCACAAGGACTAATGAGGTCTCACAAGGACTGATAAGGACACACAGGTTAAAATAAGAATGTCGAGGGTTTAAATGTTAACGTCGTCTAATTCTTTTAAAGATTACTGTCAGGTGGAACACTTCCGCTTTCACCAAGGATATTGAATAAGATTATGGATATTTGTAACAAAAGATGTCTATTTACAAGTAGTTACACTGATAATCGGTATGAAGACATGAACATGGAGGGTATGGAAGTGCTGGACTGCCGGTCGGAACAACTGTCGGGAGGATCGACACTGTCCGTCAAACGTGGGGTCTTGTATATCCACACGGCACAGGTGGTAAATTGGCGTCTTCTCAACAACTTCGCAGGAGAGTAAGTATCATCCTAACCGGCACAGGTACTTGGTAATGGACCCGGTAGGAACAGCACAGAGGCTAGGGCTGACAGTGTCCTAGCTGGCGTGCTGACATACAAGACTAAGAGTGCAGCAGTTCCCACCAATGTGACCATGAAGAAAAACCTGCAACAATACAGTACATTTAGAATACAGTAGTGACTAATTATTTTAGTAGTAACTGTCAACATGCTATTATATTTGCACAATTCATACACATTAAGTTGAACATAGTGTACATATTAATTAACAAACATTACACAAGGCACCCTTAAAACATAGATAACTCCATAGGAACCATAAACCAAAAATGATAATGAATAATATGGAATACTCACAGGTAGCAGGTGACCAACTGGGTCAGAGGAAGGGAGCCAAGTGACCAGCCATACGGTTACACCCTACACTATGACTTGGTTCAAAATACCCATGAGCAACACCTGCTTCAGATACATAGAACAAACCCAGCACTGAACTAGACAGTTCCAACAATCATTGGACTAGAATATAAAGGTCTCACAAGGACTCACAAGGTCTCTCAAGGACTCGCAAAGTCTCACAAGGACTTGCAAGGTCTCACAAGGACTCGCAAGGACTCGCAAGGACTCGCAAGGACTCGCAAGGACTCACAAGGTCTCACAAGGACTCCTAAGGTCTCATAAGGACTCACAAGGTCTCGCAAGGACTCCTAAGGTCTCACAAGGACTAAGATTATAGCGTAATGGACTTCTAAATATCTTGAATTACTCTTCTATTTTTTATTGTGAACCCAGACCCTCAATCAGTACATAAAGTAGTACCTTTGTATGAAATTTGAACAAAATTAATTGTATGAACCCAAGTATCGAAATGCAAGTTATTAGGCCAGGAATTATTTTTGACGTAAAATGACATTTTTGGGGGAAGTGAAAACTAACGTGTTTTTACAGCAAAGATAATCTGCATTTGTAATACTATGTATATGAAGATGATTTAAAACTTATAGGTTGACTACATTGTGTTATAACTCTCCAATTTTTACGTTGTAGCTGAAATAATATAAGCTTACCCTTTAAACATGGCAGTTGTTATACTGGTATAGCTCCATTCTTAATCCTTATAATTCTTCTTGGTACAATAAGCAGTTTATATTTCAAGTTCTTCTCAAACACACTGGTATCAAAATAGAAGCTGCATATTAGGGCTTTTTCAGCATTTATAAAGTATTTCCCCTTGCACAAGTGAATCCACCTTCTCAGTTCTTTATCCTTCGCCCAGCGATGGAAAGTTATATCACCCCTGTTTTTAATTTGGGATAAACACCCAAAAACTGAGCAGGTGTTTGGCAGGTGTGTTGTTGTATGATGTGTCGACACAAGTGACGTGACGAACTCCAAGAGGGGCGGCCCGTTTTCTTTGCATGTCTTGTTTTCTATAGAGTTAGTGAAGTGTAGACCACACCTTGTACCCAGCACCTGGTGACCGCTTTTCCAGCTTTAGCTCTGAGCTAAATGTCAATTCAGCGTGACCCTCAAGACCGCAACAGAACTCACTCGCCTTACATTATAAATTTGACTACAATATTTCAGTTGCAAAGGTCTAGTTCCCGGGCGTGGTGATGATCACTCTATATCTCATGAATAACTATACATCCGAATTTCTAGGATGGTTGATAGACATGCACTGAATTTTGGTGTTCTTTCCAAAAAAATAGAAAATAAAAAGTTTCCACCTCCATGATTACGAATGATCACTCTGGCCCGGGGTAGCTGTAGTAAACGTCAGTGTTGCTGATTAGTTCACATCGGCCAGTTGCCATACGTCACATAAGAGAAAACGTGTAAAATTATTGAGTAACTTAATTAAACAGGAAATAAATAGAAAATATTCAAAGACGATATTTATTGATAATGAAATACGTTTTATTTTGGTATGAAATAAAAAAAAGAAGTAATAAGGTTTAGAAAAAAATAAATTTGTAACGAATTGTGCATATATTTCCACATTTTGTAATGAAATACAAAGGTAATAAACAATAGATATTACAGTACATGGTATTTACAATTAATCATTAGGATTTTTTACAAACCGAATCCAATTTTCACTTGGCTCGTATGAAACACATCCTCCACATTTGAGAACCATTTCAGATGGAATGATTAGAGATGTTAAAGTTTGTGTAGAAAGAATATTTCTTTGCTTAGTTTTGGTCAGGTTCACCTTGGAAAAGATTCTTTCTACATCAACATTTGATGTGGGCAATGACAATATCTTCAGAGTAAAGTATGGCAGCTCACGGAAATATGGTTCACCAAAATCATCTTTCATACTTGACATTTCCTTGTAGAATAGCTCTGTATTTCTCTGATTTTTCATATAGTCTGGAAATTTTATGTTGTCAATGGCTCTCCACTCATTATCCAACTGCTGTTTGTTCGTGGGAGATATTCTAGGGAAAGTGTTCATTAACGGTAACATTGAAGGCATTGTCACCCTCAACTGCTCATTTAAAAAAAATTCTACTGAAAATACAAAACACATCTGTATAGGTTCATTACCAAGTGGAAACCTTTTTTTAATTTCTTTGCAAGATATAATCATAAATTACCTGCATCTATTCATCACATCTTCTATCATGTCTTTCCTGTCCCTATACTCTTCAGACTGGAGGAGACCAGGAACTTCTATCCCAAGGTATATCTGATTAAGGGGGAGGAATTCTGTGTTGTCTTCAGGATCTATATTTGCTATACTTGAGATCCTGTTCACTCCATCTCTCTTCATGTAACTCCACAATACATCACGGTAAAGATCACTGTATTTTTTATGCAATACTTGTATTGAAGGTTCTTGATGTTGGAAAAGAAGGTTTAAGTTATTCAACTTTGGCAAAATATAGTTGAGAAAATGGAAGTACAGGCATATAGATGGATTATTTAAGCTTTCTAGAATAGATATATATGACAGTTTCTCACTTAAGGAATAAACATTAATCATTTCTATCTTAAACTATAAGAGAAACAAATACTAAAGTAAATTGTATTTTTTCATTAGTTTACTTTGCACGGTATCACATTTCCTGTTTCCTGTATTGACAAAAAGAAAATGGTTTTGTGATGTCAAACGGTAACCAATCACAGTGCAAGAAGTTAACCAATCAGCACATATGGAAGAGCAAGGTACGGATAAACGGGAGCCCTGGCTCACACTCAGTGCTGTCACATCACTCTGGCAGGTTGTTCCAAGAGTTTACAATTAATTCTCACTCCGTTGATATCCGTTGTGACTCTGCTCTGTGTACAGGGATGATAAGGGAGGAACAGAAACTATTAAATGAATCAAAAGAATAAAGAAATGAAGATACTAAACGTAAGAATCACATTAAACACAGAAAATTTTAATTAAAATTTATTAAAAGGGTAAACCAAAGAAAAACCGACAGCTATAACTAAAGTAAATTATTGCCCTTCCTATTACCACATTTTTATTGACTTCCTTGATTCCTCATTTTACTACTCGTACGTAATTGACTTTCAGTGCAACATATCTTCGTTATCCAGAGTACTTAATATCCTACTCTGATATCAGGAAGAAAGTATCGACATCCACTTTACCCTCAACGTGTGGCTAATAGGTTTACCTTTATCATGCCTTGTACTGTGACCTGTTCCATCCTCCATTCCCTTCCTGGGTCCCAAAGGGGATTGAAGTACCAATTTCCCCTCCCTATGTCACCGACTCACATGAACTCGTCTGTGTCACGAGCATTTTTCTTGTTTACTTGATATAATTACAACATTTATGCCTGATTTGTTCTTTTCTATTGCTAATTGTCTCTTGTTCATTCTTCCTAATTTTCCTTCCAGATCATTGACTTTTTATCTCCCTTACCTTCCTCTTCCCTTACACTTTATACTTTCAGCATGGGACATTTTTCCACACGAGTTCCATCATATCTGGTTGCTTCCCATGTGCACGAAAACCTTTCTGCCCCTCACATTTCTCTACTTCCATGAATAGCTTTTCCAGCTTACAAGCTTAACAGTCCAACAGCAGAATCAAGGTTTTATCATCATAAGACAACCCTTAGAATGAATACCAAGTGAACAACATTTTATAGCCTTCGTGTGGACAGCTTTTATTTTGCTTTGAAGTATACTGTAGATGGAAATAAAACACTATTTATTTTTACATCTTCTATTGAAAACAATTGTACAGTGAGCGAGTCCACTAAGTACAAGTACACTGTGAGTTGTGTGTTGGGTATTATGATGGTGTACATCCAAAGCTTCACACTGTAGCACATTTAGTACCCACATAGTGTGTATGTTGGTGATGAGAGAGAGGGGTGGAGATCAGGTGTGTTGGTGATGAGAGAGAGGGGTGGAAGTCAGGTGTGTTGGTGATGAGAGAGAGGGGTGGAGATCAGGTGTGTTGGTGATGAGAGAGAGGGGTGGAGGTCAGGTGTGTTGGTGATGAGAGAGAGGGGTGGAGGTCAGGTGTGTTGGTGATGAGAGAGGTGGTCAGGTGTGTTGGTGATGAGAGAGGTGGTCAGGTGTGCTGGTGATGAGAGAGGTGGTCAGGTGTGCTGGTGATGAGAGAGGTGGTCAGGTGGGTTGGTGATGAGAAAGGTGGAGGTCAGGTGGGTTGGTGATGAGAGAGGTGGTCAGGTGTGCTGGTGATGAGAGAGGTGGAGGTCAGGTATGTGTTGATGAGAGAGGTGGAGGTCAGGTATGTGTTGATGAGAGTGGTTGTCAGGTGTGCTGGTGATGAGAAATGTCAGGTGTGTTGGTGATGAGAGAGGGGTGGGGATCAGGTTGTCCTCTGAAGGAAAAAGAAGGGCTCGACCTCCTGTTTCTTGTTAACGACACAGCACAACTTTTGATTTTTAAGACCGAGCGACCTGGACACTTGCTGCCATAAGGGACTCTTGATTATAGGTTATATTCTAACTATGTTGGAGATGGAAGTGAGAATATTAACCTTATTTTACTATGTTGATCAGGTGAGGTGTCGTAGGCAAACTGAGAAGCCTCGTTCACACGCATTACCTTGAGACGTAATGCTCGATTCTGTGATACTTATGCTGTATTATAAAATGAAGCCTTAAAGCTGTAAGTGTGGCAATATGTAGAAATCTGGAACTATCTTATCAACACTAGTAATGATCTTCTCCTAACATCTGAACCTTAATGGTGCTTATGTTACTGTAAGAACTGCCATCATTAAAAAAGTATAATTTTAGTGTAAATAATATTAATTATATTTCAGCGTTTCGTCAATAAAAGTTAACAGATTAATTTGGCTAACAGTTAGGTATCTGTAGGATCTATGTTCTCTGTAGAGCGTATCCCCCAGTGTGGTAGTCCGGAGTAGGATGAGGCGAGTAAGGTAAACGGCCCTAGGGGAATGTCTCCCCACCTCCCCCCTGGGCCGGGCGTGTCATCCTGCTCCAGGCTCCTTAGTTATGGATTTATCCATTACATCTTCAAGTCGTATCTTGTCCCCCCTGAGGTACTTTGTGTAGGAGAATCTCGTCTTCATTTCTCCATGTTTTCTTATTCTTTTGAACATGCTGATCATTTACTTTCCACATGTTTGAGTTAGACAAAATATCTACAAGTTGTTGGTCAAACGTAAAACAGTTACCTGGCGGATCAGGGAACTGGAAGATGTTGGATATAACTACGAACGTCTACATTAAGGTGGTGCAGGACAGGGTTATGTGCAAGGGACCTGAAACCTTACTGGCAGAGATCGAGCCTTCTTTTTCGTCAACAATAAAGACTACTGAAGGTGATCTTTGGTGTACGCCAAGGTGACGGTGAGGGTAAATGTTTGCCGTGTAACAAGAACTTTGGAAGGTAGTATGTAGTGATGATATTACATAGGGATAGTTGTCTATACAGGTTAAAGCAAAAACATCATTTCAGCAGAGTAATAGTATCAAGGAAGATAACAGGAGAAGACGATAAAGAGATTCAGGGATTAAGAATGATGTTACAGTAAGAATGATATCACAAGAGAATGTTAAGATGAAGGGAAAGAAGAAGAATAAAAACCGTAATTATGAAATACAAAATTTTTACGTCATAATTTTCGGTTTGCGGCAAATGAAGACATAACGATAACCAAAAATTTCGACCCAATTGAGGGAAAGCTAACAAGTGGAGGAACTTGACCATATATGACACATCAAAATATAAGAAGAGTGTCAGTCAGTAGTGTTGGGTAGGGAGTTGGGGACCGAGGCTGTTCTTGATACACACACACACACTCGGTCGGTCCCATTGCCACAACTCACTTCAAGTCCCTAATAAACACTGCTAAATGTGGACATTAGTGTATAATATATGGTTATACTTGTCACAGTATAGTGGTGAGAGTTTAATGCTAGATGAGACTTCCAAAGAGTTTCAATATCAAGAATTAAAACATGTAATAGTTTGTATATTACCTCTCCCCTTATCCCAATATAATTTACAATAGAAAAATGTAGATTAATTCATAATTACACTAGAAATACTGAATATGGAATCGCTAAGGAAGTAGAAGCTGCAAACACTTTTGTCAACCTATGTCACAAACTGTGTTGGTCAGGCAGTGTATATATACTGTATGCTGTCACTGTGAGGAAGTGATTTTGATATTAAGTTGAATCGGCTGAAGAATTTTCCTTAGTGAATAATATTGTGTTCATTATAAATGGGAAGTCTGCAATGCATGGGTATTAGTATAATGCGTTACACTATGGCAATATATCGGGCATAGTAAAATAGAGACTTTTATTACAAAGCTTATGGAAGGTGTGTGGACAGTAAGGTAACCACATCAGAGTGGAAGGTTAGAAAGTAGGGGGAAGTGATAATAGGAAAGTGACTTAAAACAATAAAGGAAGTTAGTACTTTCCTTTCTTCATAGTTAGCAGGTACTTAGGTCCTTCCTGAGGACAAGTGTACCTCCTGAGGACACATGTACCTCCTAAAGACACATGCACCTCCTGAGGGCACATGTACCTCCTGAGGTCACATGTACCTGAGGACACATGTACCTCCTGAGGTCACATGTACCTCCTGAGGACACATGTACCTCCTGAGAAGAGGTGTTCCTCTTCATGAGAACAAATCGTACCTCTCAAGGAAAGGTTTAACTGAAGCTGTAGTTGATATTATTTTCATGGTTTACAGGTATATATCTCTTAAGGAGAGTGACCCATGGTAAAGTTTTTATAGAGAGAGAGAGAGAGAGAGAGAGAGAGAGAGAGAGAGAGAGAGAGAGAGAGACCATTTTATACATTAACATGGATCACCTTCCAGCAACAATAAACACAGACTTCATCACATACACATGGTAAGTCTTGCTCTACCTGCCCCACCACACTTACAACTTTTCAATCTTATATCTATACAATATATATATACTTTTTTTTTTTAATGCTCACTTACAACTATGATGGGATCCAAGTGGTCAACATGGCCCCACATACAGTACATCTTTAAGTTAACAGTGATTGTCAATAACCTCAAGTGTGAGCACAGGTAAGGATATTGGCTATCAAATACAGTATATTATGTAGGGCATAAGCACATGCACGCACACACACACCCTTAGTTATCTCTTGACATACTAAACACTGACATGCATTTAAGGTTTAATTTATTACTAGTTCGTCATCCTTCACTTCTCTCAAAACTACTTTGTATGTAATGGTGTGGAGCCTCAGTCCTCTCCACAGTATTACAGCTCAAAGTATTTTCCTCAGGTTACTTTACTTTGACAGTGTTTTTATTTATTTTGTTTAATAATTTCCACTTAATATTGTCTTAGTTCTTTACAATCTCATTCAACTTTGACTAGATTAATAGACATATTCTATAATTTCACTTCGTTTCTCTCTGGGATTATCACATTATACAAATAAGACAAACATGATAGGTTTAGGAATGGAGATAATTATACTGTACATGTTGTGTGTTAATTATGCTTACATTAACATTAGTACGCAGCCGTCACCAGGAGTGTAGGCGCCATAAACATACGAAGGATAATATTCTCCTATTTCTTCAGTCTTATAGTTTCTCCACATACATTATTAGGCTGTGTTTGTCGTTCTCCATTACAGCTGTTGGTAGTGTTGCTTCTGGCTTGCAGGGTACAGGTTATCTCATCACCAATTACAGAAATGCATTCGAAACATGCTGATAATATTTCTGGTTGTATGATCTTAGGACAGCTTGATAATTTTTTTTTTTGGGGGGGGGGGCCTTTCTAAAACAAATGCTAAAATTCTAGAAAAACCTTGGAATGACTGAATTGTTGTCTATGTAAATATGAAATAAGTCTTTACATTTCCTGTTTGGTTCACTGCAGACACACACGGTAGCGTCTTTTACTGAAACTTCTGAGTATCTGTGTAATTGCTTTCTATGTACAGTATGTCACACTCATAGCAACACACGATCATGAGTCACTAAGCAACTAGGAATGTTTTCACTGTCAACAAATCCGGGTCTTAGGTGAAGAACCACTCCACTGGTTTAGGGTGGACGAGAGGTATAGATTGAAAGTACCTCATATTTGTCCTCAGCCTTGGAAGTTGTGATTCATTTCTTTGATGGTTCTCTTAGCTAGACACATACAGCTCTTATTTTTTATCCTCTTCACTGTAATTTGTTTTTGTTTCAAGTTATATCATGGAGGCTTCATGCTTCACTTCTTTCAGGTTTTTCCAGGCTTCATATTCATATCCTCCCCAAGTTGTTATCAGTTGTTTCCCCTCCCTTAGATGCCCCTGTTTCCACCACCTATATTCTGGTTCAGTTTTCTGGGGATCCTCATGCTGGGGAACTATTTGTAGAGCCTCTGAGAAATCATGTTACCTATCTACTGAGGAAACATTTCATAATGAGGTGATGTACCCAGAGTACTGCCGAGGTGTGCTACTGAGATCGACACTTCAGAAGGAGGAAATCTTGAAGAACTGACAACCTAACCTGAGAGGTCAAGAGCATCACCCACATCAGCCCGACTAATCATGGAGGTTGTTTCACAGAGCACCACAGAATGTCACACTTATATGTCTACAGAGTTCATTCTTTAAAAAAATAGGGAAATTAATGGATTAAGGAGACTCTTTTCTGTAAGTTCACAGCTCTCTATAGAGGAATACAGTTCATGCTACATGAGAAAGTTGTCTTCTCTAAACTTTTAAACCGGCATCCAAAAGTGTACAGCGTAAAGTGTTTGTGCCACCACAACTGATATGTAAACTTTGCGACACGTTAAGATGCTGTGTCCTTTATTCAGAGGACGTGGACATTCTCTGAAGGGGTGCGCTGGGGCACTAATGATGGGCTTCTAGAGGGGGTGAAGGAAGTGGAGGCTGTCCTAGGCGTGGAGGAGTCTCCTAAGGGTATGCTGGAGTAGCGAGAGGCACGCCAGGAAGTCCCGCTGCAGGAGTGGCCGTGGTGACCGTGGATGTCATGCGGGTGTAATGATCGACCTGACTGGTGTGATCCGTTCCAAGAAGACAGTCGAATAGTCTGAGTCATCTTGCCGTTGGTCAAGGTTCGAGATTCTCCGTAAATACTGTTGTTGCCGTAGGCTGCCGAGTCTAGGGATGCGTCCCTTCCCCTGGCACAAAACAGGAAACCCGAACAAAACATCCTCAAAAACAACTTCCTGAACTTCTGTCCGAAGATACAGTAGATGATGAAGTTAACGGACGAGTTAATGGTGACGAGGAGGTTACTGGACATCGTCAGTTCAGCAATGGTGATGTCCAGAAGCTCCAAGACGTTTATGATGAAGGCAAGAACATTGCAAACGAAGAACACCGTGACGACGACCAGCAACATCACTGCCAGACCAATCTCCTTCCGCTGTAGTCGACTCAGCTGCTGGCGCTCGTGATTGGCTGCCCGGACCTGAAATTACAAGATGTATTTTAATACTTCCATAAAGTATCATTATAAACAGGTAATCAAAAGGCGTAGAAATCAACAGTCGGATTAAGAATTTTCCTGTCGAATTAAATCTATCATAAATACAGCAGTGACCTCAGGTAGATAAATAATATAAGAACTGTTTCCTTAAAGGTTTTAGTACTCATGAGGCATACTGTTACTCACCAATCACACCACAACGAACTAATTTTATATTTAGAATGAAATAAATAAAGTAGGCCTACCGTAATAGATAAAGAAATGCTCACAACCATGCCTACCAACCCTACTGAGGAAACTCTTTTTACTGAGTGTGCGAACTACGTGGGTATAATCCCTCTTGCCTGAGCAGAAGGAACACAATATCTACAATCATCAAATGTAGAGAGAGAGAGAGAGAGAGAGAGAGAGATTTTCAAAGGGGGGACAGGGTAGGATAGAAACGAAGATAGAGAAAAAGAAGGAGTAGAGATAAAAGGAGATAACAGAGAGGGGGAGAAAACGTAAGATTGAATCAGAGAGAGAGAGAGAGAGTGCATCACTAACACAATTGCATGATGAATCTTGGTCGTCAACACCTCACGCAGTATAAGGTGTGACAGTGAGGCAGCCTTGGGAGGAGGACACATGAACCCACCTCTTTATAGATGAAGAAGTTGAAGATCATGAGGCTAAGGAAGGGGACCAGGTACATGACTATCAGGTAAACCCACATGATGTAGATCTCTATGTAGTAAGGGTTCAGACGCAGCGCTGACGGTACCACGATCACAAAGGTCTCGCCGTCTACATTACACTCCTGTTAGGGGCGCAAGAGACACGTTTAGTAAGGTGGAGGTGATTGAGGTAGATTTATGAGGGCGTCCATTTAAAAGAAAGTCAATCATATGCACACACTCAACCAGACGTAAATACACAGAAACACATAAACACTTACGAATAGTTTTATACTTATTTTTTACACTAATAAGCTTAAATGTCCTGAAATACTCCAATACAAGGGTTAAACTTTTACAGTGAGTGCCAAAGTCTACGAGGAAGAATGTAAAGAGGGGTTGCCTCACCTTATTAGACACTTCCCAGAACCTCGGTATGTTGTACAGGATGGAGAACAGAGCTACGCTGATCACGTACACCTTTGCCCGTCCATATGTACAGAGATACCTTGCACGTAGCGGCCGACACACTGCTATGTAACGCTCTACTGTCACCGTCACTGTCAAATATACCGATCCCGTCTGTGCCACTAGCGCCAGAGGGAAGACGAAGGGCGTGACTCTCTGGTAGACGCCCTCAGAGTACCATAACATTGTGTGTGTGTACTCGCAGATCTCCGGCAGACCGAACATAAGCACGGATGTGGTGGTGACGATCATGTCGAAGGAGGTGAGGCCGATTAGACAGCAGTTGATAGACGATCGCATCTTGGGCCTAAAGTGAGAAGACTATAGTGACAAACCACAGGCACAAGGTCACGTGATGTTGATATATGAAAAACAACCTAATCTAACCTCAAAGAATCGGCTGCAAGGATTTCTATATCATCCCCAAAACACATTAAATTATCACCTGTCTAAGGAATTACGGTGAAAAAGAAAATCTCCGCTAATAACTTCAAAGCTGAATATGTAAATACCAATAACTGATACATAATTTACATACGTGGACACAACACAGATAGGAAACTTTAGATACAGTACCTAGACAATATTGTAATGGATATGAGATTGCCTGCCACCCCCAGCAAGCCAACAGTGGTTAACAAGAAACCATACACGATGAACCGCAAAAGCCTGGGTGATGGCGCGGTGGCATTGTAAGTCTCCAAACACATTAAATCACCCACTTCCATCAACGTCTCATTATCCATTATGGAACCCTCGGTACTGAATTCTTCCTCCATGGTCTCCAAGAGGGTAGTGTTGAGAGTCATCTTGGTGGTGGCTGTAGAGTAGAGAGTCTGTCACGGGAAGGAAATAAGTTAATAGAGATAACAGGTTTTACAGTTTTTTCTCCATCCAACCTAATGCTCTCAATCTTCTTCAAAACTAAATCAATAACATCAATATCTTCCTCAAAACTACATAACTTCAATATCTTCCTCAAAACTACATCAAAACAACATCAATAACGTTTACTCTCTGGGGCCAGGCACTCTGTAACCTAAAGGAATTTATCGCCATTGTGTGAACATAAAGCGAGCACAGATGGCCAAGCTGCTCATAGTGTACTAGTGCCGTGTGTCAGAAGGGGCCTCGCAACACGCTAAGCAATATGTCACTGAGCTGTACTAGTGTGTGTGTGTGTGTGTGTGTGTGGATAACAAGGATGAAAGTGGTGGTGCAAATGGTGTCAGGTGGTGAGAGGTGTTGGTGTAGGTGAAGTGAGATGGGAGAGAGGACTGGTGTTAGTGGTGGTGTAGGTGAAGGAGAGAGAAGAACTGGTGTAGGTGAGGTGAGTTAAGAGAGAAGGACTGGTGGAGTTAAGGTGAGGCAAGGGAGAAGGACTGGTGGAGGTGAGGTGAGGGACAGAGAAGGACTAGTGTAGGTGAGGTAAGAGAGAAGGACTGGTGTAGGTGAGGTGACGTGACATGAGGTGAAGTGAGGTGATAGTATAGAATAGAATATACTTATAAACTTGTGTGAGACAGGTAGATAAATAAAAACTAACAGATTGATAGACAGGTAAATGGATTGACATATGGATAGAAGATAGATAGACCGATTGATAAACAGATAGACAGAGAGAAAACAAAATAAATACATGAAAAGACAGAATATTACCTGATGAAAATACTCGCATGTAAGAAATATTCCCTTCACTCTGTCACTAATCAAAGCTGAAACTTTATCTGACATTTGAACTCTGAAACTTTTAAACCATCCGAATGACCTTTAACCCAGTGACCCTTAACTCTGTGACCTTTGACCTTGTGACCTCTGACTGTTGACCCTTTGACCTTGTGATGTCTTAAATGCTGTATATATACATTAAGTTAACTATGGTATTCAACTCTGACGCAAAAAAGGGAATTTAATACGTACCGTCAAAACAAAAGAGACTCCATAGGTAGACTGCCAATAGGATCTAAGACTCTCTCTGGCTCATCACTCTGGAAAATAAGAGAAGAGTCAGTCATTTAGGCATAAGTACAGTCCCTCTTCACTAGTGTGTTTACAGGGGCTCGTCATATAGCCTAGGTACAGTCCCCTTCACTGGTGCGTTTACAGGGGTACAGTCCCCTTCACTAGTGCGTTTACAGGGGCTCGTCTTATAGCCTAGGTACAGTCCCCTTCACTAGTGCGTTTACATGGACTTCCACACTGCACCAAACCTGAGGAGCCCCTATAAACGCACTAGTGAAGAGGACTGTACAATAACAAATTCCATAAACAGCATCAGATTTTTTTTAAATTTATATAATCAATGAGCTGTTGTCAGTCATTATATTATGCAAGGAATTTTATGAGAATGATAATGAAGGTTTTATGTATACAGTGGTCCCGGTTGAGTTTTTTATGAGCCAACTTCAACATGTTTTCGCTTGCATTTGGCGGTCCACCAGCTGTGGTATTAGTCCACCAATACAGTCATCGGTTTTAGGGCTTACATTCCTTACTATTTTAGTAAATATCAAGAAGTTTATACTATTCAATAATTTTAAAAGTTTAATATTAACTTTTTTAGTCATTTTAACAATTATTGAACATAATTGAAGGTAAAGAAACTATATTCTGGCGTGCCATCCAGCCTGTTAACACACCAGACAGGCGTTAGTCTCTCTCTGTTTTCAGTGGAGGTAACATCTTGCTTGAGACTCTCTTCAACTAAATGCTTTTTTCTGTGTTTCCAAGCAAATTATTGGTCATTTTGAAAAATTATTTACATATTGACAATATATAATGCAGTGCAGTGTTGATTTAAAGAAAATAATCTTGAAATACACCAAGAGAACTAAAATTTTATGGGTGAAATGGTGCCATGGGGTGACTTCTCTTCCACCCCAATGCCTTCTCTTCTTCCTTCTCCTCCACCCCCATTCTAATTTCCATCATCATCATCATTATCCAGGAGCCTTCTACATACACACCTCAAAGTAAGTGTACTTTTCTACCTTTTTTGTTGAATTTAGGCAATTTTCGGTGAGCTGGAACCAATTACCCAAAATCCCATTGAAACAATGGTTTCGGTTAACGAGTTTTTCGGTTAACGAGCAACCTGCTGGAACGGATTGTGCTCGTTAACCGAGGGACCACTGTAGTTAAAGATGAATGTATAAGGCACACACACTTGTATACGTACATATAGATAAAAACATACACGCTGAACCAAAACACACACACACACACACACACTGTATCACTAGCCTAACAGATAAAAACTTTTCTCATAACCTCCATATACTCTGGGGTCCCTAACCTCCCTACCACTGAAGAGGACCACCAATATCCTAATATCAACCAATCCACCAACTTATGATTTATCTCAGATCCAGTTGACGTTCTCTTTCATCCACTGGTCATATAGGGTCCTGTTGTACTGTCCACCCCTCCTCCCCCTCATTTCCTTCCATCTCTCCCTCACCCTGCTGCCCCCTCCCTCCCTACTTTCCTCCCCCTTCCTTACTCCCTCCCTCCTTCACCCCACCGCAACTCCTCCCTGACGCTCTCACGACTGGCATTTCAATTTCCTTGGATCTTTCGTTATATCTCTTAAAGTGGACTGAGTAACCATCATCCAATCGGTTCTTTGACTGTCCTTCCGCGTTTTGTATTAATAAAATATGCAAGACAGGTTTTACATATTCACTTGTAAACTTTGGTACAACTACATAATGTAGAATTGGTTACAGTCTGTTGTTATTAATCTTGTCTACTGTTTTTAGATTCGTCTTGATAAATGTTTGAAAAAGAATCCACAATCGTATGTATGTACGTACCATTAACATCACAAACAGGAATTTCTCATCATTAGCTTTATTTTACCTTATTACACACTACCAACACTTAAAAAAATATTCTTACTTCTTTTTTTTTACCAAAGGGGAATTATGTAGGGGATCTGGCAACAGTGGGGAAGGGGATACAGACTCAATGAATAAAACAAAAATATCTCCACTGTGAAATAAACACTAGTAGCTGGTGAAAATATGCGTGTTTCATGTCTTAGTCTTATCCTGGAAGACCTTGGTGTGAGAGAGATGATATGTATAAAATTTCTCTTCTGGAATGAAAAATTTTACGATTAGAATTTATCTTTTTTGGGGGGTTTAGTCTTGTGTCTTAATTGATTTATATTTTTTTCCTGTTTGTTTATTGTCTGTGGGCATGTGTGTTCTTTGTCTGTCTGTCTGTTGTTTCTTTACCAATATGCACCTCAGAAACAACTAATATTCACCATTCACTTGACCTTATTAAACTTCAATTCCAATATGCCTTCGTCTAGACCCACACCAAAGGTAAGGCTAGGTTATTAAAATGGCTAGAACAACTTATTATACATTAACACAGGATTTTAAGTGGTTTAAGGATATACTTCTACGATAGCTGATTCGGGAGGTTAGCTTAATTTAGTTATGTGATTCTAGGGTTAGTTTCGTAAGTTGCTATGTGAGTCTGGGGTTAGTTTCGTAAGATATGTGATTCAAGTGATTTAGACACTGGTTTAATTAAGGCTAACTCTACTTAATTACCTATACTATTATATTATGATTAGCTTTACAAATCATCAATAGTTCTCGGCGCTGGGAATCATTCATTGTATTGATTATAAAATTGACCACGAAAACCCTGTCAAGTTGGAGCCTCAGGAAATCCGAAGCGACTTGTCAAATGCACGTGGCCAGCCTCCCACACACTACGTAAGCTGTCGAATACATTATGGAAAGTGGGGTTTCATTTTCAGACTAATATCCTTCGCACTATTTTTGGCACCCAGTGTTATTATTGAATTAAGAGAGTGGAATTTTTTTACGTCTTTTGTTTCCTTGTTGGTTGTCGTGCTCTCAATTATTATTTACAAGTTTCAAGATATTTCCAAAAAGTAGATAGTTTTTCTATATAGATAACTAAAGAGGAAGCTAAGAAATGAAAGAAAAAAGGATTAGTTTACGCATTCAGACGCTGGGTAAGGTACTGTGTGTGTGTGTGTGTGTGTGTGTGTGTGTGTGTGTGTGTGTGTGTGTGTGTGTACAATTCCTACAATGTGGAGTGACATAATATGACCTAAGCTGTTGCGTCGCCAGGGATCAATCAATCACTCAATCAATCAACAATGTAGAATCGTTTTAACAAATTTCTTTTCAAGGTTTAACACATGATGTGGTGTGTATGTGATGTGAAGTGATGTGATGTGAGAAACACGTACATTACAGTTAGGTAACATTCAGGTGCTGACTGGGGGAGGGGGGAGGGTGTGAGGAGAGGGGAGAGTGGGGGCAGGGGTTAAGGAGAGGGGAGGGGGGTGAGGAGAGGGTGTGAGTGGGGGAGGGGAGAGGTTGGGGGTGGTGTGTGTGATACATACTCTTTATTTCCGGCTTGGAGAGAGTAATCATTTTTTTTCTCGACTGCTACAAGATTTATATACGGGTTACACAAGACTTATCTCACGTGTTATGGAAGGCATTGTCTCTATTTACATTAAGTTGAACACGCGATATTCCCCCAGACAAAATTTATTCACCTGGTCAATTCCCCTCACAGGTAGAGAAATTTACCTTAATGCAACAGTGATAAGTGAAAACAATGATTTATTTACCAAATTTACCGTAAAAAAACAAAAACAGTATTCAAAGAGTTCCGTTTTTGTTAATAGTTACAATATTTCACACTAATGGAAGTTTAAAGGTCGGTGGTGTGGTCATTAAGGTGAGCTCTACGATACAGGTGGACGGAATTACAGGTGAGATAATTACCCCAGGATAGGTGTTTCGACATAAGGCTCGGGATTGGACCAAGGACTCTTAGAGCAGAATCCAAGTACTCTATAACTATTCGGCCACTGCGTCCCTATTCTACGTCACTGGCTAGGCTACACACGTCATTGCCCACACTACACACGTCATTGTCTAGGCTATACACGTCATTGCCCACACTATACACGTCATTGCCCACACTACACACGTCATTGCCCTCTAGTTCACCGTAAATCAACCATTAGTCACCTGCCGGATATATAGCCACCAACTTCACAAGATCGATAGAATAAACAAAATAGAAAATTAATGAAGCTTGTGTGAGTCTTATGGTTAGGTTAGTTTAGTTTAGTTTAGAAGAGGTGAAGGAACTGCTTATACAGTAGGAGTCTTGAGTAATTTATATACGGTATAGAGTAATTATATACGGTAGAGTAATTATATACGGTAGAGTAATTATATACGGTAGAGTAATATACGGTAGAGTAATTATATACGGTAGAGTAATTACAGTATATACGGTATAGAGTCATACAGTTTATAGATATTCGGTAAATTAAAAGTTAGATAATGTGGTATAGACTCTAGCTTATATTAGAACAAAAAAAATATAAAGTGTATGATGCGTCAGGAAGTATAAGTACAAAAATACACTTATCAACTCAAAATACACTTATACACATAAATTGACTGATAAAAATACGCATATATGAACTCACAATTAGTTATACAAATCACCAAACATACATAAGACACACATTAACATACATACATACATACATACATACACACACTGAACTAACCCATCACGCGACTATTATATTCCATGATCCTCACAGAAACTAAGAAGTCAGTAGATTCCCCAACATATGAAGGCGAGGTATGTGGTCGTGTCCTCATAACATATCGGCCACATTATTGACCCCTGGCCCTCAACATGACCTCTCACACCTGATCACATTTTCTTATTAATTCGCAAGAGGATAATCAAGGATATCTCTCTCTCTCTCTCTCTCTCTCTCTCTCTCTCTCTCTCTCTGAGATACACATTACTAAAGCGCCTTGACCTCTATGTCCAGAATCTACAAGATAAACTAGGAGAGGGGGAAGTGGGAGAGTGGAAGGAGTGGGGAGCGATGGAGTGGGAGAGGGGAGGAACTGAGTGGGCTGTGGTGGAATGGAGAGGGGTGGAGGAGGAG